AAAGTGCAGCACTTGCAGTTTCTGTATGCACTTTTGGCGGAGCTCCATAGCGAATGGCTCTAGCAAAACAGAACGGGGCAAAACGCGCACGTTTTGGGGCAGAAAGCGGGGGAAAAGTGGGCGCAAAGCGTGGAAAGGTCTGCGCGGAGTCGGCAAAAATGCATTTGGGAAAAGACATTGGAAAACCTTGCTGGCGAATGTGTACTTGAAATCGAAAACCAGTTGCTGGCGTGCGGTTTTTTTTCCGCCCATTTCCAAAGAAAGCGAATAAGAACCAGGAATGGCTGCAGCTCGAGAGATTTCCTCGATGAATATTTTCTCAATTAAATTTTACGGCTGCATTGCGGATATTCATTACAGGGGCTTTATTTTATTAATATTGTGCTTAATAGCAGCACACACGAGTCGTGTGCAAAGGGTCATTTGTGGGATTGGACGGGAAGCCCAAGTATGTACGAGTATATTTATTCTGGCTTGCATGTTGGGGGTCGGCAGCAAATTACTGGTTACAAAGCCGTTTTAATGAAGGAGGATTTCAGCGGCATCAATTTTCCGTTGAGTCACACAGAGTTCGGGAACCCCGCGCCACTTACCATTGTGCTAAAACTCGCTTTTTCAGGTACTAGAAGTCCGTTTATCTTCCGCTCGTATCAATTTCCTTGACTAATTTACAGAGATTTTCGCGACCTTGTACGATTATCACTTTAAGCGCACTCTCCTTGTTCGTTTCGTTTTTCTTTACTGGTAGATCTTTAGTTTCTGTTTTACACACGCACACACTGTTTGACCATCGTTATACGGTTTCTTGGTTTCTACATCACAATTTTTGGGAACTGCTGCTGATGCGGCTGATGCGGCTGCTGCTGCTCCGCTGGACTTTGCTGGACAACACCTGGACAGCGAATGGGCGAGCGTGCGCGTGCGCTTCTTGCATTCAAATCAAAAACACTGAAATAAGTTTGATTTCACGCTGTCGCTTTACTTTTATACCGCTCCGCAGTCGTAGGAGCGGAGTTGGCGCAGACGTCGACGCAGATCGGCGGCGCCGACCGCTCATTTTCGGTGGCGTTGAGGTGCGCCGAAGTCGGGTCCGAGTGGAAAGCTTCGGTCGCAAGCCAGGTTCTGAGCAACAGGTTGGCGGCTCGTGCTCTCGCTCTGGCGGCTGAGGCGATCGGGTCCGGCGTCAGGACGCCAGAGCGATAGTGAGAGTGAGACCGAGTGAGAGAGCGCTCGAGCGGCCAGCGGCCCTTTGGAATCGGATTCTTGGTAGCTGGCATCTGGCGGCGCAGGTATCACCTGGCTTTGCACCCACACCGAAGCGCGGCGCTAATTGCCGCCCATCCCAGTATCGGAGGGCTACTTTTGCGTCGTCTTGGCAGCGCGGATGATGGCACAGTTCAAAGTTCCGGCAGCTCGTCCGTTAATTAACCCCTGTCCAGGTCCAGGCCCGGCCCTTCGCATCGGAAAAGTGTGCAAAAAATGACCGAGTCCACGAATCAAAGCGAGGGGGCGCAGCGAAAGGGTGGCCAGCAACATACGCCAATCTATGCATACGTATTCGGTAAAAAGCAGACGAAGCTGGGGCTACTAAACCAGTTTGTCTCTTGGGCTTCAAATATTTATAATGACCAAGACTTGGCTTTCCTCTGCTTGCCTGCGTGGTGGCCTCCGTTAATAAACGGCCAAAATGCGCCGTGAACTTGTGAAACAAACAAAGCCCCAAAGGGAAAAGCAGCTGCCGAGACCTGGATGTTGCAGGCAACCTGGCGGATACTTGATATTTCAGAGGACCTGGCGTGCGAGCTTGAAGCACTGCGCAGTCGATTGTTGTGAGCTAAGCAATTAGAGTGGGAGTTACCAATCGCATGTGGATCGAACTTTGACAACGGCTTGGTTCACGATTTACTTACCCTCAATTAACGACCCTTCCACTAACTTTATTCTAATTTACTCGCTAAAAATCTCACCATTGCCCTGCACTTTTGGTGCGTTTTTCGACAAAAAACCGCAGCAATGCAACAAAGCAAACATTTGCATTTTTCGGCTCGAAGTCCGCTGCTGCTGCTGCTGCTGCTGCTGCTGCTGCTGCTGCTGCTGCTGCATGGCCGCCGAGCACAAGATCTTTTTGCGGAATTCTAACCGAATAACACGTAACTGACCATGTAATCTAGCCGCGCCGAATTTACATGTGCAAACAGTCGGCGGGGGAGACGATAAATATGTATAAACTGGTGGCCCTAAGCTGATCCCATCTTACAGATCCGACACACGCGTCTGCCATATTAGGGAAATATGAATACGAGCTTTTCAAGGGCTTTCTCGTGGCTGTACGGGTATGACTAGCGGAAAAGTTCGCAATGAATTGACCATGTTAGATCAGAATAAGGTTCCTTATATGGACATAGATGGCTGGCGATATTTTCGTTTGCTCTGAAACTTTCCATTCGAGCATCAGTGGTTAGAATGTTTTAAATAGTTAGTGGCGCTTTATTTACTAAAAAGCAATATGTTTTTCCCAGCTAGAATGCACTTCACGAAGTCTTTTAACTAGTGCTGCTCACAAAGAAATAGTGTGACAAAAGTTTTGGTGCCGGCAAGCCACACCTAGTTGTAAAATTTATGTAAACTAAGTGTCGAAATAAATATGCAAATATACCCAGAGATAAAACCTTGAGCATTTGCAGAAATTTACATACAAATCGAAATGTTGAACCAATCTTCAAAATATTCATAATGTGATTAAAATCATTAACGAAAGTGCACCAGTCCACCATTTGATTTCAATATGTTAATTTTTTAATGCGATTGCATAATGCCAAAGTTGAAGGAACTTGGCCGCGACTTCCGATCGATTTCACATATTCCGTTTATCCGCCTTTGCTGACCAGCGTTCAAACTGAAATAAACGAGCACCTAATGGCCGGAACCGTCCGCTTGTTCAGGGCTTATTCCCTGGCGGGGTACAATGACTTTTTTGCGAGACACTTCTCATCGTTAGTCTGGCTTTTGCTTTTTGGCGGGCACACGCGGCGTATGCTTAATGGCGCAACCTTCGGCCCAGAAATATTGACTTCAATTCAAGTCCCAATCGGACTAGCCGCGCCAGGTGACGATCGTAATGATGCCACGCAGATGGACCGCGTCCACTTTTGGTACCTGGTGGGTGTCGATCGCCGGCCAAAGCCATTGTTTATTGTGCCAAGCTTGGGATGGTTTTTGTGATTTGGATCCAGCTCTATGTGGGGTTTTTTTGGACTCTCGTTAGTATTATTGGCCTTATCCGAACTTGGAAATTATAAAAAACCAGAGTTCAAGGTTGCAAATCTCGTAAAATCACCAAAACGATTATACCAAGGCAGTAGAATTTACATCGGACTGGTGCTAATGAGCATATTTGTACGAGGCAAGTAGTATCATCATCTGGGAAAAGTTGCAATTGGTGGACTTCACCGCCCTGCAGTTGTGCAACCCGAGATGATTGATGCGTTGATTTCGCGATGCCGGAGTCTCAAGAGCCCTCGAAACCACAAAAGCAGCCGACACGTTGGATTGCAACACTTAAACACGCTTCGAAAATTAAATAAGTATAGAATAAGTAAAATGATACTGCAAATATGTACACATATATCCAAGCCTTCTATTTTAAAACTATAATCTATTCAATATAATAATATAAACTATTTTTATAAACCTTTTTAACAAGGAAATAGACTATATATACCAGTGTATGTCGGCAACTGTTATTTCTGCTGGTGCTTTTCTGATTATTAAATAACGGTTAAGTCAAGTGGCATTTTCCGATTCTGCAAATCATTCTCGCTTGTACATTATTGTGGAATTTTAGGTCTGAGGCAATGCAATCGAATGTGTGAAATACCAAAGACAGGCAAGAATAACAAACCAATGCACGAGTCATTCTCCTTTCAACCCGCCCCCAATGAACCCGTGATTATAGCCTACCCCCTTCAAGACCTGCCAATTCCGATTTATCTCATGCACATACGAATAGAAAAGATTTAAAACAATAAAACTTAAATTAACACGGCTTTTCATTCAGAGCCACTTCGGTCGAATTTGTCGGCTGATTTCCGAGCACGTTCCGACCACATCGATCTGCGGCCAGCTCGATCACCCAAAATTCCACAAATCCAGAGAAGTCGCAAACTGCTGACGATGGCGAGGCTGATGAAGACGACAAGCTGGAGATGGAGATGGAGATGGGGTTTAGTACGCATATAAAAACAAGAGAGACATTAGAAATTGCGCAAGGCGTTCGTGTTTGAACATTGATCGGCCATCGTGAAAATATATCAAGGTCAGCTAGTTGACACAGAAACCAAACGAATCAGCTAACTAACATTAATTGATGGATCTGTGCGTTCCAAGTTCGATAGCCTTCCAACACGGGGGAATTATCTGCACTGCGGATTTGCATAAGAAGAGCTAGTAAATTTTAAATGAATTCAATTAAGCTATATATTATATGCATTTTATTTATTATTTTAGGTTGCCCAAACACGATTTCATTCATTAGGGGCATACCATATGCCCATAAAACTTACGAATAACGGTAGATTTACGATACTAAAGTTAGCATTATATTATATTCAGGTTGTAAGAAAGATTTATATTTCAGAACTCTGTGCAGTTGCTGTCAGTTTCTCAGAAAAACCAATTCACATTTCGCGCCACTCAGTTTTGCAGCTACTAGCTTTTGTAAGGCATCTTCAAAACGCACTAAAAGCATGCCGATGAATTTGGAAAAATACTTGATAAAATACCAATGTAAACTCTTATGAGAGTAAAAATAATTTAAAATTATTGCATATGCATAACATCCACTTGTTCCAAATTTTAACGTTTTAAAAATGCGTTGAAAAGATAGCTGCCTAATTTTATGAAGAATATCCATTCATGAAATAATATAAATCTTATTAGTGGAAACGGCATATTAGCATGGAATACAGAATGGCCATTTTGGATGAAAACTATATTTATTGTTCCAAAAGATATAAATGAGATGTGAAACCTCTTTGCACTGATATGAAGAAACATACACTGATTGAATACTTTTAGTGTAATCTGTTCTGCTTGCCGATACCTGTAGCAATTTGAACTTAGTGGCAAATCACAGCTGTTTGACCATTTATAGGCTAAACCGTCTTACCATCTGGTAACGCCTGGTCGAGGAATGGAGCCCAAAGTGACGATCCACAGATATTATAGCCGGCAAGCGAAATATGAAGGAGCCGTGGAAGCGGATTTGGAACTGTTCATCAAGCACTGCGGCGGCGACGTGGTTCGCATCGAACTGGTGAACCGGCTGCATGGAATCCAACTGCAGCGCAAGCTGCGTCGACTACTGCTGCTTGTGCTCCTGGCTATCGCTTACTTTGTCGGGACCTGCGGATTTGATAACAGGACTATTAGTTTCCTGCAGCCCCGCATCCTGTACCCACTGGCAACATGTGCTTCCGTAGCAATCCTGCTGATTCGTTCTACTCTGAACCTGGTGCAGGCAGAGCGATTGTTCTATAGCTGGGACATGGCACTCCAAATGGAGACGGTGCGCTCCTTCGGCAGGGAATCGGTCCTCTGCGTCCAGCGGGGACACATCGAGGACATAGTGCTAAACGAAGTCATTGAAGATGTAGGAACTACTGCTTTTTTATATCGACTTTCTTTCTTAAAAGTCATAAAGCTATTTATCAGATATGGATAGTTATATATAGTTTTTATTCACTTTGTTTCTCTTTCAGTTGGACGTAAAATACATGCTAATATTACGTACAAAAGGAAGCCAATTCAAGAAGCGGCCCATAATACCCCTCTTTAATGTGAGTTCACTTTCGTTCTTTTATAAGTACTATCTAATGATTAAATTCCTTATCTCCAGAGTCAATCCCCCTCAATTGAGTGCCTGCAGCACGCATATCGCGTGCTGCATAAATATTGGCTGAACAGCACCAAAGACCGATCAGAACAGTCCTATATCAAGGACAAGCAGTCCTTAGTGAATTCGTAGTCCTTGACCATATCGCTGAACTGTTAGTTAAAGTACTTATTAAATATAGAGACTTATAGTATTCAGACAAGCTTACCTGCACAGTAGGGTTTTCATCTTCTGGAGGTAGTGGAGGTAATTGTGGAACCTTTAATTCGGATTTGACTATATTAAAATCAGCACGGACCTATAAGAGATTATATGTAAAAACGAATAAAGTAAATATTGCATATTTGTGATTTTACAAATGCTTACCAAATTGTTCAGTTCTGATCTAAATTTCTTTTTGAGTACTTGGCGGTAGGTCTTCAGGTACGTGTCCTTGTTGCTGTTTAGTTCCTTCTGGATATTCTGAAGGTCGATCAACTGCTGGAGCGAAAAGTCTGCAAAGAAATAGTAGTATTCATGTATTTCTATAACAATAAAAATTATTTTCATTGCGCTTACTTTCCATGGCGTCTATATTTTGTTTTGAAATGTGGCAGTGTTGCAAAGCGACAAAGGTCTTGATTACAGTGTTACAGCGGTAAGTGTTACACGCATGTTTCGCATTTAAACGGACAACAATTGCCAATCTATATAGATTTTATCTTTCATGCTACTAGATAACTTTTTCTAACATATATTTATGCATAATTTATTGTTACAATCGTATATATAATAAATCTAATATTTTTTTACGTTTTTATGTTAGTTTTACGGGATGCGCACTGTGTATCGGCTTACTGACAGTGCTGCAAAATGCCTCACTTCACAGCCAAGCCCACCTGACGTAATTGGCAGAAACGACGTATTTTTGTTTATGTGAGACCCCGCTCCCCGCCTCTCGTAAAGTGAGTGGGCCAGATGCTTCTCCAATGACCACTTCTAGTTGCGGAAATTAGTATCTCCTTGTCGGAACCCCTCCCAGGCCCCGTTGGAATACAGCTGTTGCTGACCACAGAACCTTACCGCAGTAAGGCATTTCATCAAAAGTGAGTTTACATCAGCGGAGCATTTCCGAAAACAGTCATTCGGGTGTGCTGCCCATATGGACAAGAAGCTCTAATCCGGTTTTCTGTATCCGACTGCAGTTCCCCGTTTCTCCGGACACACACAAAATGAATCGGTCCGAACCGATTCCCATACGTCGGGACCGCTCTTTTGACAGTGTGATCAACCGCCTGCTCCGTATGAAATCCCAGAACCATGAGAGCTTTCGCGCTGCCATGTACAATTTCCTGATCGCCGCAGGAGTGGCGGCATTTGTGGCTGTGTGCTTCATTCTTGGGCCCTTCGTCCGTCCATTGCTGTGGGCTTTCCTCATGGGCGCCGTGCTCTTCCCATTCAAGCGACGTTTGGCGGAGAGCGTAAACAGTTGGTTTCAGCGCTTGGAGGTGCGCGACTCCAATGTACTGGTCTCGATCTGCCTATCGCCGCTGGAAGCCACAGAGCATTGCGGGCGGTTGCTGATCGGGTGGCTCTGCGAGCACTGGCAACTCCTCCTGGCCGGATGCGGAGTGGCCGGGTGCATTAAACTGTTGGTCCTTTATGCACCGAAGGGTTTCCTGTTGGCCCTCTGGCATTGGATCACCTTTTCTCATGGCTTGTTCGTCCAAATTATTGGATTTCTCAACGTATACGTGGTAAGTACCATGTAGATTTTTCGATAGTGAATCATCAAAAGATTTTTAGAAAACCAGTTAATATAGAAATGAACGATATAACAACAATTTTTTAACTGATTTGCTCCGCAGCTCATTTCCTTGATCGTGGTCTATTTGAGCTGCGTTCACTTCTTCTGGAAGCCAGAGAACAGTGCACACTTCGTGATCGCCGGACAGTCCATGTGGATAGCTGTGGCAGGCTATCTAAGTAGTTTTCTTGGCGCCCTGCAGGTGCCGGTATTTCTACTGATTATGGCCTATGTAACAGCATCTACGGCATATCATCTGCAGAGCCTTGATGATTCCGAATCCTATCTCCACCGCCTGAAGAAGTTGTTCGACAAGAATGATTTTGAGCGGTCGTTAAGCAACTTTAGCATTTGTGGCAGGACAGGAAATGAGTCACTGAGTCCGGGTCTGCAGTCGGACGCGGAGGACATATCGTTAAGTGACACCGTCGACTCGACGGACACGTTCGATGACAAGCCAGGAACCGAGGCTCCCAGTCACCAGAGCGATACTTTCTTCAAGCTCCTTTTTTATGCCTGTTTGGGTACATTCCTCTATCGGAACGTGTGGATGTTTATCCTAGCGGCAATCCCAGTATTTCTGCATCTTATCTACACTGTAGGAGCGTATACGGGTATTACCCAGTTTGTTTGCAACAAAATCAGCGAGGTGTACGCAGCACTACGTGTGAGTTTTACAAATAATTCTTAAATCATGAATTTATATTTTTTATAAGCTTTGCAGTTCTGGGCAATCGAACACCATTCTGCCGTGCTGCCATTATGTCTACCTGGTGTCCTGGAACTCAACTATAAAATCAATACTATCGTGCGGGATTCACTAAAGGCCTCCGTTGAATCAGTTACTTCCATCCTAATGATCATCCTCATGCTTCTCATCATCGTGTTTCTAAGCGTGTTCTTCTGCGTGAACATTTACTCGGAGACGATTGAGGTGGCTTACCTGGGCAAGGATTTAATTAACAAGACGATCACAGATCGGCCTGAGCTAATTGACATCTTGCCTGCCAACATGCAATCGTCCATCGAGGATGCACTAGATAACGCACACCATTATGGTCGCCGTAAGATTGAAACCTACATAGACGACTGGCTGGCAGACGCCGATAAGGTGCATGCCACCAAGTTGAAGGAGCAGATCCTCGAAGTGTGGGACCGGCTTATCCAGTATTGGATCGATTTCAATAAGGCCGGTTCATCGTACGGACCGCGGGTACCAACGGATGCGTTGAAAAGCACATTTGGCGAAATCGTCGACAATCCAGGTAAGCAAATGTTCCCATCTCTATGGCTTCTTTCGATTTTCTTTCGTCCCGCTTCACTAATAAATTCTTTTGAGTTCATTTTCGGGGTTTTCGCATGGGTCTTTTGTTAAGTACTTGCTCCCTCATCCATCCCGTAACACTCGTTTGCGTCTACGAAATAACTCATACTGTGTGCATCTGCTAACCGACGGCCGTTTATTTAACCAAGGACATTTTAAAGAGCTAGTTTTAGTGGCAAAACAGGGCATTATCGGCTGGGCGCAGAGCAATACGCAGACGATCCTTGAGGTAGCAGAGTCTTTGTGGCACATTATCCGGACGAACATGTCTATGATAATGGGCGTGACCGGGGAGATTCTATCACTTGTGCTTTCGGGTGGACAAGCGTGCATTGAGTTTATTCTAGATATGGTGAGTGTAAATAAATAAAATTTTAATGAAAATAATATTCAATTCCAACTACATTCTTTAGATTGTATTTTTTACTGCCCTGTTCTACCTGCTCTCGAGCAGCCAGGAGAAGTACGCGCCCCTGCAGATCACCAAGTATCTGGGATATTCCAGTTCGGGTATCAAAATCGCCGATGCCCTGGAGAACTCCATTACGGTAGTCCTAGTCTCAATGTTCAGGTGCGCCACCTTTACGGGATTGTTCACCTGGTTGGTACATACCGTATTTGGGGCCCGGATAGTGTTCCTGCCGTCCGCCTTGGCAGCAATGTTGGCTGCTGCGCCTTTCTTAGGCAGTTACTGGTGTGCGGTGCCAGCCTTCTTAGAGCTTTGGCTGGCTCAGGACCGCTTCTATGCAGGACTTATATTGTTCCTGCTCCAGTTCTTCGTGCCATCATCTTTTGAAACTGCTATATATGCGGACCTCAAAGGGTGTGTATTTATTTTTTGGTGGAAATTAATTTTTCCCTCGTCATCATTTTGCTGTCATTGCAGTGGTGGTCATCCCTACCTCAACGGCCTAGCTATAGCAGGAGGAATGTATTGGATCGGTTGGCAAGGAGCTATTTTCGGACCCCTGATGCTTTGCTTCTTCATCGGACTTTTCGAGGTGGCCACTCTGGCCATGCGTAGTCATCAAGAGCCCAGGTAACTTTGACTTTCCAAGACAAATTAGATGATTTTGTTTGATTTGCATGCAAAGTATGAACTACATCAGACTTGTGCGGCAGGGATTGAAGTGAGTTATTTCTTGGTAGATTTCTTAAGTAGATTTCGAACCTTCTTTATACCCTTGCAGAGGGTACATTGACTTCAGTCAAATGTCCTTTGCATGTCCGTCTGTCTGTCCGTCCGTCCGTTTCTACGGTAGTAGTCTCCAAAACTTTTCCAGAAAGTCATTTTTCTATTGCAGAAACGGTCCAATATATAATTTCGGTTTACTTTAATCAAAATCAGACGACTTTTTCATACAGCTTTCATAGGAACAGTCAGAACAACGTTTATGCATTGCTTATAATTGGTATAACCAAAGATACTAGAATAATAAGATGCGTAACGCCATACGATTTTTTTGCACACGATTATTTCGGGCTGGCTCTAGAGCTGGCTCCAGGCTCTCTCGAATTTTTGTTCAAATTTCAAAAAAGGATGAAAAAACAGGACAGATTTTGATTCATACGTTGCCATTGTGCCAATACGGGCATTTTATAGGCTTTATTTAAGACAATTTTTACTACTCACCTTAAAGACCTCACTATTTCACTCACTAATATAATTATGACAAAATAATAGTTTATTATTTAATTACTTACAGCTCGAGATTAATTTAGTAGCACTTTGTATACGAATAAACATAAAAATATATATCCCTCTCAGTGTAGGGTAATCAATTTCTTTACAATAATTTTATATTGTATTTTAAATATTTTTTGTGAATAAATATTTTAAAATAAATATTATAACATTTCAAGCACTTGTATGAATAACATTTGCCCGGTTATTTGTTCAAGAGGAATGTCAATTTGATCTTGCAGGTAATCACACTTAAGAACATACATACTTACATGCATCCATCCATCCATCCATCCATCCATCCATCCATCGATACATAACACATGTATACATACATACATACCTACATACGTACATACATACGTACTTACATACATACATACGTACATACATACATACACACATACATCCATACATACATACATACATACATACATACATACATACATACATACATACATACATACATAAATACATACATACATACATACATATGTACATACATACATACATACATACATATGTACATACATACATACACACATACATACAGCGGTACATACACTACACATACACTACACTCACTGCTCGTCCGGTAAGAGAGATGACTTGAACTATTTTGCGACTCTAAATTAGAAGACATGCCTTACAGTCCTCGCTAGAACCAGTTGGGAATTATAGGGCTACAAGAAAATATTTTTCCTCAGCAAATATTCAAAGCGGCAATAACTATGTGTTCCGACAGTAAGTTTAACATTCTTCAGGCTTTAATTACGACAATTTTTACTACTTTGTGCAAGTAACACATACACTACATACTACATACATACATACATTCATACATAGATTCATACATACATACATACATAAACATGGAAATATTTTATGTTTAACATATATTATTTCAAGTCGACTCGAAGGTCATATAAATATACGACCCCATTACAATTGTAATGTCCTCCCCGTGGTGTTCCCTGGGTACCAAAAAAATACATATATTACAGATAATTAATAATACAAATATTTATATGTAAACGGTAGCTAATTCGAGCGGCGATTTTAACTAAAGAATATTAAAACAACTTCTTAAAAAAAAATAATAGTCACGGCATCAATTTTTAAATAATATTTAGCTCATATTACAACGAAATTGACCGAAACATTTATTAAGAGAGCAATTACTGCCGCCACCAAAAAAGTAGCTGCATAGTGCAAAACCAATGTATGGCCGTTACGCATCTTATTATTCTAGTGTCTTTGGTATAACCCATTTTTTTTAATATAATTACTGCAAGGGTATATAAGCACCGGCTTCAAGAAGCTGGCTTCGTTTCTTAACATATCTTAATTTAATGCGAATTCCCTACTGCATTTTAGGAACAGTACGGATGAGGAGCGGACCACGTGAGTTGGCTTGGACCAGAAACTACGAATTTCCATTTAATACTCGAACTGCAAACTAACATAAGCTGTGTGGCCAAATACCTGACAATCAAAATGAGATTGGCCCCAATATCGTACCCTAGTTTTAGGCTGGAGTTTCCTTAATCGTTAATCTTACCGCTTTGCGAAATTTGGTTTTTATTAGTACTCAAATTTAGAAGTATTCCATATTCCGTCTATCCAGCAAGCGCTCCTTAATATCTCTTCTATCGATTATGTTCTTACATACAAAATGTACCTCGAATTGTTTGTAGTCGTGTAACATTTCCAAGCCTTTAAGTACCGATACCGTGCTCGCTACTAATTGCTTAATGTAAAATTGTGATTTGTTTAAACTTAGATACTAAAGTGTTGCAAATATATTTCTGTACTAACTATCCTCCGCTGTATGCAAGCGTTTCTGAATTCGAAAGTTTTTTTCCAGCTCGATCGCTCAAAGGGTCAACAAAACTGTTAATGACAGCAGATTAAAAGCGAATGATAACACAGATGGAAAGTCTGCCGAATGGGGAAAACCTGTTGAGCTGAAAATCGTAACGAAAACCAAGACATTTCAACTGTTGAATACCAAAGAAAACCAGTAAAGAAATTTGATATAAATAACATAACATTTTATGTGTGTATAATGACGAAAATACGAGTAAGGGTAATTAACGATAATTAGAAATTTTGTATAATCTTTATAAAATAAATTGTTGCTTTTAATGCTTTCGACACAAAGTAATTTTGTGCATAAAAAATAGAATGCCGTTTAGTTCGTGTACTGATTCTTGAAGGTAAACTCAGGATGCCGCTCCACACTGTAAAATAAAAATCGCGATAAAATAGAGGGATTAAAGGTAAGACATATTTTTATACCCATGGAAGAATGCAAAGTCACAGATTCGAATATTCTTGTCCAGGCTGGACAACTTGGCCACCTCCTCGGCCGTCAGTTCAAAGTCGAACACATTTAGATTCTGCTTAAGACGAGCGGGATTCGTGCTCTTGGGAATGGCGGATACACCAGTGTCGATAATCCAGCGGAGCAGGACCTGCGCTGGAGTCTTGCCATGGGTTGCGGCAATCTCCTTCACCTCAGGGATGTCCATCAGGTCTGGCAGATTCCTCACAATGCCCGCTCCAGCATTAAACTTGGCGATGCCTTTGGATCCCAGCGGGGAGTAGGCAGTCACAGTAACGTTTTCAGACTTGCAAAAGTCAACCAAATCTCGCTGCTGCAAATAAACGTGGTGCTCGATCTGGTTGTTGGCCGGCCGGATCTTGCAGTTCTTCAACAGACGGGCCACCTGTTCCTTGCTGAAGTTGGATACCCCAATGGACTTGGTGAGACCCTTCTCCACCAGGGCCTCCATAGCAACCCAGATGGCTGCGTGGTTCGTGGTAACGTCGACCTCCATCAGGCCATCCTTGTCGAGCTGGAAGTTAATGCTCGAGATGTAAATAGGTCTTGGGAGTAAATTCCGTAGCACACCTACCTTAAAGCTTCCGTCCTCGTTGATATTAATTGTGAAGGGGGTGTGCACCAAATATAAGTCCACATAATCGAGTTGTAAATCTTCCAGCGACTTTTTGATAGTTGGCTCTACTTCATGGGGGCGGTTGGCTAGAACAAGGATTAGTTGCTTGTATTATTTTGGCCTACTACATTTACATCAAAACTTTACATAAATTAATCTACATTATTCATTCATCATAGCAAATATATATCAATAATGATCGTTGAACAAGTTATGTTGGTGTTTTGAAGAAAAGTCTATAGTCTTATCTTATCAAATAGATTTCTAGAATATCAAAATGAACATTGGTAACTGTAGGAAATGTTTTTGTGGGATTCTATGATTCTTATACAAGATGGGAGTTAATACTATATGTGTATTTTTGATTTTTTATAGAATTGGATCAAAATTTTAAATTTTAAAACACTTACAAACGGGTGGCACCTTGGTCACAATGAACAGCTCGTCCCGCTTGACCTTTCCAGCGTCCAGCCAACGCTTGAGGACTCTTCCGATGGCTTTCTCATTGCCGTAGACTGGTGCCGTGTCTATGTGGCGATACCCAGCTTCCAAAGCCGCTTCGATGGCGGTTTCAATTTCCTCATCAGATGCCTGCAGTGTGGTGATCGAAATGTGGTTTAGTGGTTTTGAATATATATTGATGATAGTCTTTGTATTATCTACACTACTAGAGGGACTTGAAAGTTGATTTACAATGGGTACGTATTCTCTGGTGACCAGTGAAAGTCCAGCCCACTAGAGCTATATGTATGTACATATGAATGGAGATTTATTGTTTGTTTTTGAAAACCGGTCTAAAGTCCCCAGCACAATCAAATTTGTTGATTGCATCGGAATTTTCAAGAGATTTAAATGACGTGTCAGCGATTTGTCGAGTCGTTAATAATTTAAATAGTGTTAAGACTCGAATATCCACTATCCATTAACCTTACAAATAACTTTTCAAATTACAGAACCGGGATAATAACTACCTGCCAGGTGCCGATGCCAATCACGGGCATCTTCTCTCCATTGTTGAACGTTAAGAACTTGGTGTTGACCATTTCGAATTGCTTTTAATTACTTGTGCAATTAAGCAGACTTGAGTAACAGATGAAATGGAAAAGCTGCTGCACAACCTGTTGCTTTGAAGATAGGGCTGAAATTAAACAAGAAGCTACGACCCATCCACCGGCCCACTTATTATTGTCCAATGCAATGGGATTCTGCCTTTTTCAGTGCACGGTCTTACTAGTCGATATTTGTTTAACAAAACAATCGAATTCAAAATTAAGTTTACTTTGTATGGTTTAAGGCTAGTTCATTATAGTTTAATTATAAAGGTCAAGATTAAGATCTACACAAATGCTGAAATTATATGCATACAAATTATTATTTGTTTTAGACGAATATTAAAAAAAATACTTCCACCGCATTGCATTTTAGTTAGATTTAGTTTTATAACAATAGAACAATTTTTAACACATATCCAGATATTTTCCAAACAGCATAAGAAAAATACACCTCCAGTTCGCTTTTAACGAACTTGAGCTTATAAAGGAAAACTAATCCACCACTATGGAGAAGTTGGTGTATGTGTATTCTGCAAGTTCAGTAGTCTCACTGAAAACGCATTTGTCGATTCGACTGGTAGGGCTGCCGGTGTGCTTTAGCCAGAGGCGCCTGTAAGAGAACCGCTCGATAATCAAACTCTGAATGGAAAAATCACTTACATGGACTCAAAGGAATGTCGGTGTGCTTGAATTTCGCCCTTCACCGTATTCTCGTTAGTGTTCTTGCACCAACCCCGGACTCCCAGCTTCTGAGCTCTTCGCAAGGTGTACTAAAGCATTGGAATTGGATTATGGGTGGAAGATTACATATATGCCTTGTGTATTTAGTCTTTGTCTAGCCTTGTTTATAGTTTATATAGTCCGAAGCTAAAGTTTTTGGGTATCCCATTTTAGAGCAAGTTCTTACCATTCGAAAAGAAACGCCTGTGTGTGCAAGATGACTATTATTATGACAATCCGATTTTTGAATATCCTACCTTGTACAATCCCAAACACTTCAAATTGGCAGCTGAGGACCGGCTCATTGCTTTTATCCGATGTAACTCTTTTCTGGAACTCTGAGTGCGAAATTCTTTTGGGCTCCTCGCTGTTTTTTTTGGATGGTGAACTATTATCTGATGCCGACGGAGGAAGGGTTACCCGCCTACGCCTACCCTCAGTCTGCGTTTCACTGGAGGTCATTTTACAACTCGTCTATTTATCATATTTTGAGCGGTAAGCTGTCAAAAACCGATAGATCGATAGGCATTGGGACAATTGTGGCTTTTATATGGCTCACCCTCAATTTCAACGGTTTAAAAAAAGTAAATTTAAAAAAATGATTTAAATTAAAAACAATACCAAAGGTTTTTTAATACTGTCAAGAAAATAATCATTTAATCATTTTAATCTTAAAGCGGTATTTTTAGATTTTGCTTTTTTTATTAGCCTTGTATAATCGTAGATCGACCCGATAAGTCAAGTTCGGGCTATCGGGGCATCTAGGGGTCACCCTGTGTTCAAGGCGGTTCGTTGGAACCAGTTCCGACCTGTCTTTGAACAAAACAAAATCATACAGACAAAAAGTGATTAACAAATATTACGCGGATACAACTTCATCGCACTATGCATACCCTGTACGCGCTTCTGAAGAACAAGCTGAGCGATGTGCATCCCCTACACAACATTGATATGACGCGGGATGTGGCCTACTTGAAGGCGGTGGTGACCAAGGAGATGCAGCTGCAATTCGACGCCAGTGATTTGGGTGAGTGACCTTCCGATTGAGACTGCTGTCCATTGTCTCTATTGTGTCAAGTCATCTGCTGCGCACTTGCAGAGATCATCTACCATGGACGCGTACTGGAAGACGCGGACACCCTCAACCGAACGCTGCAGCCCAACTCCGTGATCCACTGCTTTCAGAAGATTAAACGTTACTCGCCGTACGTGCCGCCAGCTGCCACAGAGATCAACACGAAACACATCCAAGAGCTGTTTTCGTTGACTTCTCACCTGCAGATCAGCGTTACCTCGCGGTTCAACATTCTGCAGAAGATACTCGCCGAGTATCCTGAGTTTAGGCGAAATCTGGGTGCCCAGGCCCTAATCCGCGACTCTGTACTGTTCAACATGCTGCACGAGCCGGAGGTGGTCCAGAATCTGGTTAAAGATTATCCCCTCATCTGCGAGGCGGCTCCATTCATTGTCGACACCATTCGCAAAGAGCTTGCCAGGAATAGCTCAGCCACGCAGTGTAACTATATCCCCATCTTTACTTGTTTTGTACATCTTACAAGCCGTTTCTTCCTTTTTAGTCCAAGAGCAAGCTGCCTCGGAATCCACCACTTCGTCAGAGGAGGAAAACTCTCTGGGAGCAGGCAGCAGCAGCAGTGGTGGAAGCAGCAGTACAGCCGTGGCAGCTGCCGCGGCCGCCAATCGGCGTGATGAAATGGCCAACATACGTCAGATTAGCCGCCAGCAACTGGCTAACGCTTTGGCCAACGTGACCTCGTTTAATTCACTGTCGAATATTGCCCAGAGAAACGCGGACGAGGCCCTGCAGGGTGATGAAAGACCAAGAACCACCTCGGCTCCATTAGCAGTCGTTGGAGGAGCAGCTGGAACCGGCGCAGGAAGCAGCAGTGGAGCCATTAGCAGCGGCTCCATATCCTCAGAGTTGTTCCGCAACGAGCTGGCCCGGGCTTTTCAGTCCCTGGCGCAGAATCAACCTGCGCCGGTGGAGAATATGGAGGTGGAATCTGGAGGGGGATCAGTCCCTGAGTTAGTCGCCACAGCACCAGCTGACGATGTGGATGACGAGGACGATGGAGGTGACGACAGTGATGTGCTGCCACGCTGCTATCGCCGCCATCGGTTCACCGAACAACTGCGTACCATGGCCGCCATGGGCTTCATTAATCACACTCAGAACGTAAATTATTTAGAACTTTCCGATGGGAATGTGGAACACGCTATTAATCTGCTTATGTTGGGCATGAACTAATGGTGATCGGAATTGACAAAATAGCCAACTTAATGTGCTTACTTTACGGACTTATATTTATTCTGCTGCTGAGGATTCTGAAGCATTAAACTCCCAACTTAAGCAAGGAATATCTCGCGAGAACTTGTAATAATTAAATATACATTTAGAGGAGTCATCTTGGTAAGCTGATGGGGGACTGGGGAGTTTGGGCATGGAGTAAAAGCTGGCCGTACAAAAGGTTTCCACTAAATTATACTAATTGATTAGATAGTCCAGCGCCTTGTCCTTATTATTATTGAACTTGAGAAGCGCCGCCGAGATTTTCGATTCATCAAAACCGAGGTCCAGAAGTTCTCCCAGTGGAATAAGGTGTTCGATAATCTGAAAAAATCCAAGCTCGTACTAATGGTTTTTGCAAGATTTTGCGAAAATGCGTTACCTTTTTATCATCGATACCGCACAGGCTAACCACCTTTGCCACCCGTTCCAGAGGGAAACCCATAGTACTGATACGTTGAGCCAACTTCTGTGCCGGACCAGCCAGCTCCCTAAAGGAGTTTCTGTCCACCGCCAACTCCACCGTTGGCTGCTGCTCCGCGTTGTGGCTGTGGAGGCGGGTGCGACGTTTCTCCGCCTGCTGCAGCTCTGTCTTCAACTCCCGCAGGATGTCAGGCACACTTCTTGACTTTGTGGCCACCTCGTCCTCCGACTGGCTAAGCGCAAGCATGGAGGAAGGCGTTGGAGGAGCCTTTAAATGGTTGGGAGTCCCGAATCCATTGACTTGGTAGGTGCTAAACTGTTGGTAAGGATGCTGCTGCGGGGAGTAGAAGGGCTGGTAACTATACCCCTGCATGTGGTACACCTGCAAAAATAATTAAAAGCCCATGTTTTAAATCAGAACGTTTAAGACAACAATAAAACGTTTAAAAAGAAATGTTTTAAATATTGATACTGGTTTTATAATAAGATCATGTTAAGATCGTACTCAAACTCTTTCCAATTCCAATAATTGATTTATTTTTATTAAGTATTTTAGTATTATTCTTTTTATTAAGTAATCTACCTAAGAAGTGCTCAGAAACCAACCCGATTTAATGGTATACTGCCAGTGAATGAACAGTTTCCTCTTTTATTACAATTTAATGAGTAATGAGAATCCGATATTAGGAATACAGGGATAGTACACAATACAAGTTTCAATAAAATAAAGTTAACATATTAAGGCGCTTTAACTATTTAAAAGTGTCCCACCTGGAAGTGTTCCGGTTTATGCAGCGGCTGCTGGGCGGAAGCGCTGTACATGGGCGTTGGGTAAAGAGCCGTGGCTGGAATGTGGCTTGGCTCGCTCCTGTCCTCATTATCATCACAGTGAACATGGAAATTGACGCTGTCGAGCGTCGCTTTGGTCTCCGCCAGCGTAGTCATTGCCAGCTCCACCGGAGCAGACACTTCCTTTCTGGATTGCTCCTCCTTGGAATGATCCTCATGCACCGACTCCTGTTGCTGATGTTCCCCTTGCGGCTGCTGTTGATCTCTGCGCTTCTCCAGCTGTGTCTGGTGCAGCACCTGAGCGAGTATGTCCAGATCGTTAATGGTCTTCAGCTCGATATTGTCGAAAGGTGTGGAGTTCATATTGTATTCAAAGTCTGCGTAGTTTAGGGAGCTGTTCCGCTTGTGAAGAGTCTGCGGACTGACCACTGGAGTGGTGCTCAAAATGGTGGGCTGCAAGATATTGTGAAAATTGCACACACTTATTGACTTTGGTTCGTGGGAAGAGTCACGTGACTCAGCGGTGATTGGAGGCAACTGCTGCTGCTGCTCCTCCACCCTCCGCTCAGGATCGTTCTTCTTCTGCTCCTCCTCGTCCTCGTCCGATGACAAGTCGTCCGCACTAGGATAATCAACTGCACCAAGCATCTCTTTCTGCCTCGCCTCCAGCGCCCGCTGGCGTTCCTCCTTGCGGCGCTCCTGGCGACTGGCTCGCTCCTCGCGCTGCTGGCGACGTAGCTGGCTCCATCGTTGTGCCTGACTCACCACCGCCCGCTCCAGCTGACAGTCATATTGGTAATCCGGATGATCCGTGTAGAAATCTGCTCGGAATTGCGACAGCCGATTGAGGGTCGCCTGCGGCAGGTGGAACACGGCAGGCGGTGGTTTGTAGCGCTCGACTATCTTAACCGGGACATCTTCCATGTTATGCTAGCGCATTCACCACGAATTTTGTTAATTAAGTTGCTACTACGCGTTTTTTCTCTCTGTTCTCTTTTGTTGTTCGCCGAGCAGCAGCGATAGTCGATTGTCTTGTCATCGGTCACTGCTGATTCGCAAATTTCTACCAATGTTGGATATCGCTTTTATTTGAGGTGCTCAATTAATTAGGTGTACTCTGGTTTGATTTCGAGTTTGCCACCGGCTGATTTTAAATCTTGTGAATAACTTAACCCCAACGTTTTTAAATTCGGAAATTTGAGGTACTTTGAGTAAATAAAAAGCGGAATACATTAATAATGTGTACAGATTACAGTACATATGGCATACATCATAACAAATTAAAAGTATAATTAAAATTATATTACAAATAGCCACAGTAAATATGCTTGTTACCAAGGGAATGAGTATGGGGAGTAGTTTCTTACGTAATGCTTTATAAAACAAAATTTAAAATATTGCATGGTATTAAACCCATTCATGTCTTAAGGACGAGCAACCATGTTATCGATAGTTAAGGCCAGGCATAGTTCAACGCTAATCTCCAAGGCAATGTAAACAAAACAAACCGAGCAATGGACGATGTCGAGGATCTGCGTATAAACCAGCAGCAGCTTATGGACGAGATTTCGGTCCTATTGCAGAGCACCTTAGAACCGAGCGATGCCAACGCACTGCAGCTGAATCAGGAGCTCCAGCGACGGCTCATGCAAGTTCGGACCAAAATCCTGGCCATGCTACAAGTAGTTAGAGCCCGCTTCTCTCGAAACGAGGACATCCTGGTGCGCCGGCTGAGACCTCGCTCCCATTTCGGCCCGGATTCCCTCAATCTTAGCGGTGCGATCCTGCGGAAGGGCACGTTTCGTTTTAAGGGCAACCTTTTTTTCCGAGACATCGATGGCCGCAGCTGTCCTAATAACGAGGACTACGAGGCGCGGTGCCACACGGAGATGTTTCCCACCGACTTTGACATGCACTCCAGGCACGTATGGACATTGCTGGACAAAAAGAATGTGATAATGGGGATAAAACAACAGGTGAGGGGACCCTCCGTCTACAATATGATTGCCAAATAACCATTTATAGCAATCAAAAGTTGAAATGTTTTATTAAAAACTTAATTCTCAGTTACTTGACCATAGGGCCCACAATACGAATGCGTTCCCCTGCGGAAGCCTTAAGCGCAAGCCAACCGAGCGGCACTTAAGCACACTGGTAAGTCTGCTGGCCTCTGCGGATAGTAGCTTCAGCATCGACTGGAACCAGATCAGCACTCTGGACTTGGAATATCGACACTCTCCGTATAGCTGTGAGGCCATGTGGCGGGTCTACTTATCCCCAGATCTCAGGCGAGACAATTGGTCACCAGAGGAGGACGACACCCTGCTGGCGGTAGCAACTGCGAATAGGATGCAAAACTGGGAGCTGACAGCTGCTTCGCTAGATCGACGTTCCGACTACCAGTGCTTCGTACAATTTCATACCGGCCTGCGTTACTTGCTGGAGCCAAAGACCAGCTGCCGCTGGAGCGAAGAGGATAACGATAGGCTAAGGGAGATCGTTGATAGGAATACGGCAAACGGCGTAATTAATTGGAAGAAAGTCGTTGAGTACTTCCCGGACAAGTCTAAATCGACGCTAATTGGTCGTTACTACTACGTGTTACATCCTCGCATCAGTCACGGTGGGTACCCAATATATTGTATCTTTTTTGATTGTTATTTCATTCCTTTGGTTTTGGACCGAGATCTTTCGGACTATTTTCTGAACACTGAAAAATTTTCTCATACTACTGCAGAATCCTTCACTACCAAAGAGGACATGATGCTGTTCGCCGCCGTTGAAGAGTACAATGGAAAGTTTCACTGTTTTCCGCGATCTCTTTTCCCAAACCGGTCGTTAACCCAACTCCGAACTCGCTACCACAATGTACTGGCACAGCGCAACAAGACCGACTCCTGGTCCGTACAGGACGACACCCGGCTGATGAGCTTTGTAACAAAATACGGGGCTTCCCAGTGGCTGAACTGTGCCACATTCTTGGGCAATCACACAAGAACCAGCTGTCGAACCCGCTTCCTGGTCATCAAGAAATTCCTTGAGCAAAATCCCAATGCAAAAGTGGAAGACTTGCCACGTCGCCGATCGAAAAAGGTGGCCTTGGTCAACTCTGATAACTGGGCGCAGCGTTTGCAAGAGTGGCAAGAGGACCCAGAGTCATTAGTCGAAGCTGAACGCACCAAAGGAACTCGAGTGCGGGGAACCAAATCGAAGAAGGCTCGGATCGAGCGACAGGCAGAGAGTTCCTCAAAACTTATAAAAGTTGACATTGAGTTGTGCGAGTTCTTTAAATATAGTTACAATCTGCCGCTAACCACTCCCAAAACATTTCCACTTCCAAATGACGTTTATAACTTTGGGTATGTGGTCAGAGCTCTTGCATATAAGCCACCAATTTGTCCCTCGCTCTTACAAAACATATTTATGCCAAATGAACTGCTTAAGTGTTACAATAGCATGATCCGGAATCTTCCGGACGAAGAAGGTGATTTGAAGAGCCCACTTCTGCCACCCAACTGGTCAACAATGATGGGATTTCGAGCGTTGTGCATTCTTTCTGCAGATTGCCGCAAGAAGGGTACGGAAGCTCGGAGCTTTGAATATAATGAATCTGCACCACCCATCCAGCTTTTCCGCAAGAGGTTACAAGCTCTATTCTATCGCACCACTCTTCTCAGCCGCTTGGAATCGAAACTCTTTACAGACTTACCCTCAGCATTAGTATCTCTGCCACGGCCTAATCCCAATTATGCAAAAATGGGTGCACATATTGTTTTAATCGATCCCGAGCCGGAACCACAGAATGATCTAAAATCCGAACCGCTTAGCGAGGATGAAGTGATTAATACAGTCAAGCAGGAAGTGGAAATTGAATATATACTACCATAGGAATTATTAAATAATACATATTGAAATATTTAAGCTTTAAAAGTTTATATTTTTTACTTTATATCGCGTTATATAATAATAATTCATTACAATGGCTAACAAATAATTTATAAACTTGTAGGTACTTTCAATGTATTTCTCATACAGCAAAATCAAATGCCGGACCGATGTGCATTAGGGTGGCTCGTTTTTGTGAATATAGTTTGAAAATATTGCTTTTTTTGTTGCTGTTTTAGAATTGTTTAAACCTCATTTTCAATATAAAAAGAACCGATACATCCACATCCCATTGTACATGCGGTCACAATGCATTACAAAGCATTTTTACTAGCACTAGCAGCTTGAGGACTATTTTGTTCGAATCCCGGAGGGGGCGCTCATTGGAAGTTACTGAAATCCGTCTTCAGCTTGATCGTGGGCTTCTGCGGCTTAGCCAGCAGGTTCCTCTGCGCCTCGCTTGCTTTCTGGGCAATGTTAATCGACTGCTGTTGGCTGCGAATGGCCGCTTCTAGTTTTTGTCGCAGTTCCGGTGTTTGACCCATCAGGGCTTTGAATTCCTGCGGATATTTAGGACCGATCTTCAGTAGCCACTGCAGCGCCTGGTCGTGGAGCTGCCGTTGGAACTTTGGCAGCGTCCGGAGTCGACTGGGCTCCGCTAGATATCCAATGAGCACAGGGACCAACAGAGTCAACATTTGAATATCTGTGAAGTGTGGACAGGGAAACAATTAATATTTTAATATTAAATTTAAAAGCTTGCTAAACAAAACACCCATTTACAGAGATGGACAAGTCGCGCCATCCCGTACTTTTACTTTATACGTGCAACATTTAAAGCGTAATCTTTATTGACAACAAGAACTAGAAACTAGGTGTTCAGCTATTCTATGGATTGGTGCATTGGAAAACATTTAGTGTGCAATAAACGATGCATCTCAAAACTACAAGACAGTTAAGGTAACATACATTAAAAGTTCTTGTTAAATAAGAATATAAGAAACTTTTGTAGTGTAGTATGATGTTCCTTTTTGTTGTGGAAAAATAATTCCATTTACAATAAGTAAGCTGATGACAATGTAGTAAAATTACAATGCGTGTCAAAGATAAGAAAATAAAACTTTTAATGTTTCGTTTTAACTGCCTTATATTACTGAAACGCTTTTTCGACATGAAACATGTGAGTTTGTGATCGAGCTCTTCTATTTACCTTGTAGCAAGTTCATGTTTCCTAACGTTTTTATATTATTTTTGGTTTAGTGTTTTGTAAATGATTTGTGAGTTGATAAAAAGAGAAGACAGAGAAGAGAGCAAATATATAATAACTTATTTCTTTTTCTTTTCCCAAAGTGTGAAGTTTGAAATGTATGTCACTTTGGCTGCGTTTGAAGAGACAATTGTAGAAAACAGATCGATATGACACGGCAGTCAAATGGCAAAAGCAAAAGCCTAGGCTAAATTTATGTTGGAACTATATAGGCGGGAAAGGGGTACTGCTATGAACTATATATTAAGAAGGGGTACTCCTGCAACAAGTGCAAGTTATATAGAATTCGGGAAAGTCTACTATTTAATCTTTTTATTCACAACTATTGAACATGAAATAAGGAAGACAACTTATTTCATGTTCAAGGAAGCTATGATGTACAAACTGATCCATTTTTACTTGTTAGCAACCTCTTAATTCACAAGCAAGAAAGAACGCTATATTCAAATTCCTGGACTATCCGATGTCCGTTCCTCCAGCTAGTGGAAGTGCGAAGAAGAAATTTCAAAATTCTTCTGAAATATCGATAGAAATTTGAAAAAATGGAAACAGCCATGTCGACTTGGCTTGTGATCCTGATAAATGCTTTATATTGTCGAAAACGCTTCTTTCTACCAGTTTCATATTTTTAATAGTATGTACGGGCATAAAAAAATGTTATACGTGTATAGTTGTAAATTATATCCTTCCTTAAATTCAAAGGCATACATTTCAAATCTATTGATATAACACATTTTCTAAGGGTTACATGTAAAAATGTTATTTTTAAAACAGGAGTACCCCGTACTTTAAAGAAAGACCAAGCGAAATGATACCCATTTACTTACGGTTTTGTGGCTCCGACAAGTCTATAAGTTGCTCCACAGTAACGATGCTCTCAAGGGTGACCTGTAGCTCCAGTTCGCCTGTGGGCACCTTGCTGGACTCCGCATACAACGATTCGATTATCCTAGGTGCGAGTGCGTGGATGTATGGTGTTGCCGTCTTCAATTCGGCCCGAGCGAAAATCGACCGAGTGGTCTCGATGCAGCGCAGCTTCACGGAGAGGTGCTCCGACTGCAGGCACTGCCGGAAGTGATTAATGCAGGGATATTGCAATGAAGGAGTAGACACAACGGAGGCGGGCGTATGCAGGATGAAAACAGTGATGGCCAGCAGCATAGTGACCTCGTCGACTTTCCTTTCTTCGTTATCGCCAGCCGTTTTGGTGAGATCCACAATGGTGGCCAGGGCACTTTGAAGTAACTGTTGCCATTCCTCGGTTGTCTCCTCTACTTTAGCCCACTTGTGGACGCAAACGGATCGCAAGCAGTGTAGGGCTGACTTCACAGCACACGTATTTGCCAAAATAGTACTATCTATGGCCGACTTGTTGGCGATTTCCTTAACGATACTAGTTGTCATATACAGGACGGTGGGCAGGATTGCAAGGGCACCTTTAGGAGTACACAAATCCAGCAACTGTTCGACGCACTGCAGTCCGCTGGCTACTAGCAGGCCGTTTTCATCACCCAGCACCGAGAAGAATGACGAGCCAGTGGCCATTTTGGCATAGGCAAAGTCCAGCTGCAAGCCGGAGCCACCAGCTCCCTGCCTCGTGGGATTCATCGTAGGTATTTGGCGAACAAATAGACAGAGACAAACCTCCAGAACGGCGTAGACATGCGAGCTTCCTGGCTGCATGGAATCATCTTCACCATGTCGCTCTCCATCCCCCTCTTCAGAATTTGCATTATCGTCCCGTTTTCTTTCCAAATCTTCCCTAGCAGCACGGATTGTTTGCTTCAAAATTTCCACGCACAGAAGTTGTACGAGTAATTCATCTCTCGTCAGTATCTGACGGTGTAGAACATGACAGAGTTCAATGGTTAAAGCCCGATCCTTGACCAACTGTCTCCTAGCCCAATCAGAATCAAAGATGCTGTGCAGTGAGCGAAGGCAGCTCACAATGTTTCTGGGCCTTTCAGAACTTCTCATGCTGCAGAGTGCCTCCATGCAGATGCCGAAGATCATATGGAAGCGATCCGCCGACAAAGATCCGTGAGTGATCTGATTATTGTTGGATTCCGCTGCGGCTTCACTTGTATCTAGATGGCGGGCGAATCCCTCATCCCTTAACCATAGTGCGGAAGCATAGAGGATTGGGGGCCAACTGGTCATGTAATGTGGTTTTGACGAGTTAATTGTGTCCGTGGTGTAAAAAGCTCCTCCGTCGTGTGGTAGTTGGGATTGGAACTCCGCAGGTAGCAGCAGCAAGGCGTGATCCTTCATAGCACTCAGCCAGTGGGTCGAAAGATTGTGGAGCTCAGGTTGCACTAATCCTAGAAGACTTTCACCTCTACTGTCAGGAACATCCGAGTCCGTTTCCACATTGGTTAAGGATTGTAAGCCGGACTGTTGGGATTGGAGATTCAGTAAGGAAGCCGGAGCCTTTCCATTTCCTATCATGGCCACAATATAAACCTCTGCCCACGCCTTTAAGATGCTTAGCTTCTCCAAAGTAGCCATGGATTCGTTATATAACTGAGTGCTGTTGGTTTTTGAGGAAAGCTTATCAAGGGAACTGACTAGCAGCTGGTGAACTCTTTTTAGATCCCCAATGTCGCGAGCCACTCCAGATCCAATCCACGCGGAGCAAACTTCACAAGCAGCAGCCGTCACATGAGATGGGGTATCCGGCGCGAAAGCAGGACGCAAAGCAGCTCCCACCTGAGCCTGGAACTGCTCTAAGAGTAGATGACCAGGGAATTCCGGTTCTGGAACGTTAGCGAATCGATCGATTATTTCCTGCAGAGTACGCAATCCTTCTAATCTCAATTGATCCGAGTCCGAGGTGGCGGCCATGAAGGACATTCGAATAAGTTCCGCCAAGTGCAGGATGAGGTAGTCTCCGCGAGAGCGAATGAGCTGCTGTTCTTTCGCCTGCAAGAGATCAAAGTGCACTGAACTGGCAGCTTCACAGCTGGCTAGGATCCGTCGCACGCACTGGGCGGCGAAAACACGAGTGGGCCACCTTGGCTGCACTGCCGGATGGGTGGATGTGTTCTCCTCTGCTCGGTATTCTGTTACATCATCAGCATACTCTTCCTCCTCGTCTTCGTCCTCATCTTCTCCTCCAGCATCTTTGCTCTTGCTTTGTTCCCCACCAGCGGGATCATCATTTAGTCCTCCTTCCACAGCAACGGTTAACACATTCTTGCACAGACTCAACCAGGAGCTGAGATTATCTGCAGCCAGCATTTGGAGCATTGAAGTAAGTGTATCATGAATGTTTCTCAGCATCTCGGCATCCGTTTCGGTGTCGAGCAGAGAGAAAAGCAATCCTGGAAGTCCATACTCCGTAATTACCAAATCAGGAAGTTGTTCCGCGTTAATAGTTAGCGCTAATTCACACACTTCTTTAGCTTCCCGATGGGCCAACTGCCGGAGACAGGAAACGGAGGCCTTGCGAAGTATGAAATAGTTACAGGCTAGCATTCCAACAAGCGTGGGTACCAACTCTTCTAGTTGCAGAGATTTACTAGCAAAAAGATGTAGCTGCTGCAGGCAACCAATTGCCTCAGCTTGCACAAGTGGATCCGAGTGCGATTGAAGGAGAGCTGCTGAACAGAGGAATGATCCTCTCATGCTGGCCACTGCTCCACCTCCTCCTTGTAACTCCGGTCCCACGGTGGTGATCAACGCATTGACTACGCGGCCCACGCACTGATGTACATCAACATGAGCGTGGGGTACGGTAAGTAGAAGTTTCAGGCACAGCGTCAGGGTTGCCTCCACATAGCCGCGGAACATGGGTCCTCCAGAGTCGGCAATCTGCGCTAAAGCATAAAGCGACCAAGCCTGTACCACTGGCGATGCACTATCTTGACCCAAGGCCAGAAGGATAGACACACTGGTGCTCAGATGCTGCGACGAGCCCATGCCACCCACATAGCGATGCAGGCAGCCCAGGGCATGTGAATGTCCAGTCCTCGTAACCACATCTCTAGCAGACTTTAGTTTATCAAAACTATTTTGAGCCAACTCCGCGGTAAAATGAGAATCTCCAACAACCTGGGCTAACCGACCCAAGGCCTCTCCAGCCGCACACCGGATTGTGGAGTTGGCACTCGTCAACGAAGCAACTACCAATGCCGTGGCACTCTTTCGTACATCCTCTTGGCCTAGGCTCGTCTTGCTATCTGTCAGATTTTTTAGAGCGCAAAGCAGAGCTGTGAAGATATTCATTTGGACGGCTTCTTGGCGACTGCTCTTGGCCTGGCGAATACACTCAGTAAAGTGCTCTAGCATCTGAAGCCTATGCTTGTTTGCCACCTTGGGAAAGATGGTTCCATAAAGAGTCACTGCCATATCGATCACTGCTACTCCGAGTGGCAATGGTCCTGGACACTGTTGGGCCTTGCTGATCTGTTGGATGTTGCTTCCTCCACCGCTGCTGCTTCCATTGGTGGATGTTGCTGAGGAACCATTGGAGCTGGATCCAGTACCTTGCGCAGACCAACTAGGACGGTACAGACAGCATGGATCGTGCTCTAAGGCGCCAGATCCCGCGGCGCTATTGGGTTGCAGCTAGAAAACAACGAAGTTTTAATTACTAATGCTAATAATTAATCTGCAGATTTCCTTGAGAACTAATGAAAAAGAAGATAATTCAACTTAGCTATATAAAATGTATGCATGCAGGAAAAAGAAACAATATCAATGCTGAAATAATTTTCTCAGCAATAATTGAAGAACTAGATACATTTTTATAATATTAACAACAAATAAGCTTACTGAAAGCATATCGACGCTTAGCATTCGATATCGGAATTGTTAAATAACTTTAGCTATTTACAAAAATATATTGATGTTCACCTATCTGAACCTATTAGAATCTCACACAGGGAACTTTTTCAAAATTTGAACTCATGCTTAAATAAGAATGAAAATAAATTCCAATATGTTGAATAATAAATGTTAATAATGAATAACAATATAAATATAACGACTTAATAAAACTCGAAACAAACACTGGTAGCAGACATTGCACTCCACTTACATGCTCGCCATCGACTTTGCGATTGGGCTCCATCTTTGGATATGCACAATTATAGAGAAAAGGGTGGAGAAACAGTGAATTGGGGTTCACGGATAGGCAGTTGGTTGAGCGTGTGTGTGTACATTTATGGGAAGATATACCTAAACTCCCAAATTAAACCCACCTGATCCTCAATGGTGCGATGATTAGTTTCCTGCAGCCAAGTGCCCAGTATGATAGAATCATCTCCATGACAAAGCGTCCGCAACAGTGAGTTCGTAGTGTTGGCCGCGTTATCCGAAAGAGTAAACTCCGAGACGAGCATGCGAAGAAGATGTGTATAGGAGGCCTCTAGAGCATTAGCCGGCAGCAGAGTCAGCGTTTCAAAGAGACGCAGCCGCACCATAGCTGCCGGAGCCTTTAGCTGGGTTCCATAGCTCTTCAGGACAGATGCCAAGCTGGAAAAAGAAAGTATCAATAGCCGTGACAGATAAACTGAATGTTAAAGACGTCACTCACTTGACCAGCATGGCCAGGGCGCTTTCGATGGGGGTGAGCAGTCGCCTGGTTATGTCTTCGTTGAGCAGATCCGGGCAATTAAGCAGGAAGCTGTGCATTACAGAGAGAGCTCCAGCTCTGCCCTCTAACGTCACCTGCCAGGTGAAGGCATCGCCACGCGCCTTTTCCGATTCAAGCTCTTTGTTGGACCGCGGAAAAGAGTTCCGCCACAATAGCAGCATCCGCGGCAGCAGTCCCTTGACTACCGGCGATCCCAAAGTCATTATTGCTCCAATTAATAGCCAGCCGGCCTGGGTACGGTGCAGCGACATGCGGCTATTCTGGGAAGCAGATCGCAGCAGTTCCTCCGCACAGTTGAACACGACCTTGCCTTTTGTGTGGGGTATGCCCAATGGCGAGTAACGAACGCTTCCCAAAATTGCCGCCAAAGCGCAGCTATATCCGGCCATTGCTTCTGGCGAGGATCGCATCTGCTCGATGGCCTCTACAAATCGATCAATCAGAGGCGTAATTTGCCCAGGAACCGCCACACAAGCGCATCGTAAGCACCAAGCGGCAGCCAAACGAGCAGCGGCACAGGGATGTACCAAAACGGCACAGGTGGCATCAATAGCTTGCAGGGATTGATCTCCCAACAAATTCTGAGCCGTGGTTCCTAATCCAATAAGTAGAGAACTCAGTTCCTGGAGGGCACACACGAGCAGGTGCTGACTGAACAACGTTTCTTGATTGGAATCCTTGGCGTTCTCGGGGTTGAAGTCAATAGAGTTCATTTGTTTGGCTACCAGATGGACCAGTTCCTTGCAGGCAGCGCTTTGCGCCTTTTCGCCTAGCATCTTACCAATTGTTGAACGGAGTATAAAGCTGATGCATTTGCGCGAATACACTGCATCCACGTGGGAGCACGCTGCCTTTGGATTGGCCACCAAATCCAAAACGTGTGCCAGAAAAGTGTTCAACTGTCGTTCCAACCAAACGCTGCCCATGAATTGCACAAAAACCACGTAGGCATGCGTCACACCCACTCGGACTTCGCGGTTGACTCCTGAGCTGCCTTTGATAATCTCTCCGGTACCCTTGAGAAAAGAGGCGCCACCTCGAAGGAAACCTGACATCAAGATGCCCAGAGCTTCATCGAGGGAAACCAAACGTTGGGTAGCTCCCTTGACTGCCTGTATAGCCACCGCTTGTCCCTGTTTTTTTTTGCCTGTTGCGGCCTCGGCCAGTTGTTGAGTGTAGGCCAGAAGTGTTCCAAGCAGCTGAGCTACCGCACATCGCACTTCGTAGTTGCTGCCGTCGAAGGCTCGGAAGCACAATGTTCCCAGGCTTTCCAACTCCGTTTGATACAGGAATGGTGCACTGTATATCATTTTGAGGATGCAGCGGGCTGCAGCCACGCGAACAGCCATAACTCGGTCCAATAGGCAATGCTTGGCCGCCTTGTAAATATCCTTGTGCACGTTGGCAATGGCGGTTCCCATGCCAGCGCTCACCTTCTCCAGCGTGTGCATGATCTCAATTCGCGCCTGAGACTCAGCGTTGCGAAGCGTTCGAATGAGGATCTGCACCGTGTCCTCGTAGGTACGGCCCATCATCCTGCCCAGCTTCTCATACATCGAGCCCAGCACGCAGATGGCGGCGCTAGGGATAAAAGAGGCTTAGTTTCGATTTGTTATTTTAATATATGCAATATACTCACAGCTTGGTGGGCAAGTAGCTGGGCGAATCGTCCTTGTTCTTCAGGATGTCATTGCAGGCGTTGACGGTGTCAAAAAGCATGAAGGTGTCACCGACGGAGAATAGCGTGGCCAACGAGCTAGCAATGAGCTTACGAATGGGCGGACCTGGAGCACCCTGGATTCGTTCAGAGAGCTGCTGCACCAGCTTCTTCTGGCTCGCCTTGATCTCCGCTTTGGACACCAGTGACAGGGCCTTCTCCAAGTAGCGCAGCCATTCCAACTCGAACACAGGCCGCTTGTGTTCGGGCAACTGCTTGAGAGCCTCCTCATTAAGGGTCAAAGTGTGGGCCAGCTCCATTTCGGATAAAGCCTCCTCCTCAGTTTCCGAGCGTCCCCTTGCGGATGAGGCGGAAAAATGGTCGCTGTTTATAAACGATCTGCAGAGCAAGCGAGAAAAAATAATATAAATTGCGGAATGTTTCTCTAATTAAACGCAACATATGGTTGATGAGTGTGCTCGGGACTATTCGGTGGGCCTTTGACCTTGCCATTTGAGTCTACTAGTATGGACAGCTGCATTATCGATTAACATTTTTGTATCACATTTCAGATTAGCTTAAAAAAGTATTATTTCACTATGTTAAGGCTGCATTACCATGTTATGATTTTCTTATTTTTGTTATACTTAACGTTGTATAATCATCAACGTCTAAGAAATAAGTATGCCACTTAAAAAAAAAAACATTAATTTGCCCAAGCCATAAATACATATAAAGATGTGAAATAGATGGGAAATTGTAAAAAAAAAAACTATTTTATTAAATGTAAGTATTAAAAATATTACATTTTTTTGCAACAGGAACGTTGGAAATTGTGTTCGTTTAACCAAAGCAAATATGCCTTAAAAGCTTGCCGCTAATAAGTAGAGCAATCACTTTACGGAATATACTTTTATAAAGAGAAGGGGCGCAGCGTGGCAGTCCCCCATGGTATTGTGTGGAAAAGTATGCATCACTCAATCTATATATACGGCGATGATGACGGTGATGAAGTCAACCCAGAAGCATATTCAAATGTATCGATGCGCCGCCACACTTCGAACGGAAACTGCACTGGCAGCAACTAGGAAGTCACCCACCCACAGCCGCCCTACTTTCTTGTTTTATCCACACACCCACTCCCATCCCATCCAGCTTTGATAAGTGCGGGAAAGAGCTGTCGCCTTGGGCTCGATAGCGGCGCCCATTGACACAGATGGCGGCAAAGTCAAGAGGAGCCAAATTATTAAACCGAAACAAAGACTTTTCCTACGGAAAATCAAAGGGGTCCGATGCGGCAGCGACTCTTGTCCTCGTCAGTTGTGTGCAATGTGCGAAATGATGTCCGCCGGCTATGGGTAATGGTGTAAGCCAAGACAATGAGAATGATGTGTGGGAGGTGGGCTGCAATTTTAATGGTTGGTACGTTGGAGCACCATGGTGCTTGGGAAGGTCGTTTGCAGTAATTGCTTTACTGGAAACATTCAGACATATGTGTAAAAGTGATTTTTTATTAGTGAAAGTTTCACTATGGAATTACGCATATACAAATTAATCACTTTAATTCGATTTTTAATTGTTGGGCTAATCAGGAAAATTCATATTATTTTTTATTTATCTGTACAGATACAAAAGTATGTATTTATTTTGTGAATCCTTAAAAAAAGAGTTATTTAGTCCTCAACCCAATACAGAATGATTACATCCGCTTTGGTAAACATTTTCTTCAAGAGTATGTGCAATTTCCTATGACTAATTGTCGGTCTTTTAAGGCGTCTCCCGTGCCTTGGGGTTATTGGTTCCAAGGGTTTCTGTTCGTTGCAGCTCCTTCCCTCTGCTGCTTTGTTGTCTTTGGCCTTTGTTTGCGGTTTTCAGCTCGAGTGGCTTGTGTGGCATGTTGCACAAGGCACATATTTTCATACTGCTTACGATATCAGTGGAAATATTAGCACTGAATAATGATATACTAAAATTGCCAAAATAGTATTCTGAGTGAGCTGTGACTAAAAATTGTTTGTGGAGCTGGTTAGCAAGAATGAGATTTACTCAATTTAACAGAGATTTACTAGTCATCATTAAGATATTTTGAATTCGAAATTGTTACTAGAGTGATGAGTATTTGCTTTCGTTGTAAAAGCAACAGTGTCTAAATGAAATGCCTTCATTCATAATTTGTCATCGATACATTACAATTCGTTTGCCTCACCATGAAAGAGAATTTCAGTGCTATTATTTTGACCACCACTGTGTGTACATACAAGGCGAAATAATCCTCGGGCGTGAGGACACCGAGCCATTGACGTCTGCAGGCTCAAGTTACATAAGACGCCGCCGGGCTGCTGCACCGCCGCCCTGGCTCCCACTTTGCCGCCCACAAGAGGAAAACAAGTAAAACCTGTAAGGTGCAGGCCAGCTAGAGACAAGAAACCAACTCAAATCCCGGCTAGACTTGTCCTGTGAAATACGGAACATCAGGGTGACTCGTTCGCCGGTGGGTGGTGATTTCTTCTGGGTGGTGGTGGTTGACTTTTCCACTTTCCACCCCCCTCGAGCAGTCCACCCTCCTGCGTTGTTTTTGTTTTCTTCCTGCATTTACCTGCGCGCCTCGGAGATAACTTTGCGCAGAAATTGCGGCGTGCGTGCAAAGTTTAAGTTTTCCATTGTTGTGGTTTGCTGTGTGTTCACATTTCCAGAAAACTTTCTTTGCCTTTACTCTCGCCAATCTGCAGCCTGCAACTTTCACACAAATCGATAACTTTTCCACAAGAGCACTTTCAGCACAAGTTTTTAACTGCCCCAATCGGTTTTGTTTAATATTGCTTGTGATTATTGCTTTGCTTTCAGTTTCATCAGGGCAATTAATTCTTCAATAGCTTGTCACTCGATGTAGCGTAAGTGGCGAAAAAATAAAACCGAATTAGAGGCGATTACAGGCGCAACTCTGGAGAAGCAGCAGGCCCAGCCAGATCCGCTTACACTTGCTTCGCGCACCGAGTACAAAAACAAAATGAAATGAAAGAGCGCTGGCGAACAGCAACCCACCGAGTGAAAGAGTGTTCTCTCTTAATACCCTTTCTGAGAGTAAAATCGTTACCAAATGCCAGCAGCCCCGTATTGAATACAGACTTGTCTGGTTCTAGCCTCCTATTTATTTATTAATTTTTGCCAACGAATATTTCTATTCGTTGGAAAAATCTTTAGAAAACAACAATTGGCTTCTTGATTAATAAAGTTCACCAAAATATTTACTAAACTGGCTTATATAGTAGTAGAGTATAGTTGAAAAACGCATAAAAATAAAGTTTTGTAATACCATGCAAGTATGTTCCGCCTTGCAAATATCTGTAAAATGCCTCTAAAAGTGTATACACTATTTCAGTAAGTAAATGAATAATTTTCAAAGTGAGAGAGCGCCAAAACAAAATAAAATCAAAGAGCAATGGAAAGAACACAAGAAAAGCACCCCACTGCAGCAACAGCAACAAGAGGGGCGCGTTCCAGAAGAGTACAAGTGGGTGGCAAGTGCTGCCGGAAGAGAGCGGCATGTGAGAGAGTGGCCGATGACGTCGCACGCTAGAATCGCAGCTGATTTAGCAACAATTTGCAGCCGGCTGACCTATTATATACTTTTAGGCACATTAGCACCGATAAACACACACACCCACATTGGAGTGAACTATGTCAATGTGTCAGTTAAGTCGTTTGGCTGATTCGGTGCTCAGGGAGAGGGAAGACGGGGAGGGTGTCCTGTGTCCAATGTCCTGCTTACTTTGTCTTAAGAGAACACTTTCGGTGGCGCTTCCGGCCGTAAAGGGTCTACCGACTGATTTACAATCGGTCCCAAATTCAAATGAAATCACAAAACAAGAGAGAAAGCTGTAGTCGAGTTCCTACACTATCAGATACCCTTTACTCAGCTAGTGGGAGAGCGAACGAGAAATGGTTTAGACCGACACTGAGTTTATCTTTTTCACGACGAAAGAAAGAAATACTTAGTAACTCGAATATTGATTAACCCTACCACACCAAATCAAACTAAATTTCAGCCTGCGAATCATGGATTTACTTGAATCCCAAGATTAATAAAACCTATTAGTGCCGAGGCTGTTTTACCAGCTACAAAATATAGTGAGAAGCACAAGTCCGGTAATAGTTGCTTTGATTTTTATTGAAAAGGTTAGGAACCTTGCACAAGAGTTCTGCTATTCTTCAATAATAGAACAACAATACGATACAAATTATGTGTAACGTATCTTTGTACACTGTCTAAGTTTTTTTTTTAAATGTGCTCAAATAAACAATATAAATTATTTTATCAATGATTTGTTCAAGATGATTTTGCTTGACTCTTCCCTAAAACAAAAATTAGATTTATCAAAGTACACACACAATTGTAAGGTCAGTTGGTCCCTCGACTTTATAGTGACTTATCCTAGGAGCTTAAGGTAAAAACTGCATGCTGGGAATAAAAGTCAATGCCTTGGAAGTGGCGCTTTTGGGATTCCCCAGATCTTTGGCGATTCCCTGAACGCGGGCCACCACGTCACTGCGCTGGATATCGCCCCGGTCCAGCATCCTTTTAAAGAGAGTATGCAATTGCCTGGCCGCAGAAACCTGAGACAACGCGTGCAGCTCAATCAGCAGATCCTCGGAATATCCCTCGTACTTGCTCAGACTCGCCGCCTTGGCATCGCGCTTTAGCAGATCGTAGACCAGCAGGAAATCCACATAGGGTTTTGTGGGAGGAACCCTCTTTTTGCCAGCTATCGAGGCGGTACTCCATCGATCCATCGCAGACTCAGAACCAAACGCGGCCCTTCCGTAATTATCGTCGTAGAGGCGCAAAAAGTTATCCAGCGACTCCACATCGTTGGTGAAGTCGTAGCGCTCGTTTTGAATGTCCCGGATCAAAGACAAAGGCAGGTTATCAAAGTCCCCATCATCTCCAATTTCTGCAAATAGATCGTTGCCTTCAAGCGACTTTTCCGGCGGGGCAGCTGGTGCGAAAATTGCCGGACGATGCGCCAAAGTGGGTGGGGATGTGGGTCTCTCGGTAGTGGAAGTTCTCTGCGGGGTCTCCCACCAGCTTGGCGGCTTCCACCAGCCATTGCCACCAGATCCAGACGCACCTGCTCCAATCGGTCGCCTTGTGGTAGTGGTTCTCATCCTCGTGGGCAATGGTGTGGATAGCCGCGGACTCGTAGTGGTTGATTCCACTCCTTCGTCATCCGCACTGAAAGGAGGCTCCACTGTTGTGCTGGATAGTGGCTCATACTGCAGCAGATCTATATAGTATGCTAAGGCCTGCATGGAGGCGGGCAGATAGCTGGTCAGTAGGTTAGCCGGCACCACTGGAGCCACTAGGTGACCCACTAGAAGCACCACCAGCATTGGACGTAGCGTTAGCCCACTGCACATTTCTTGCGTTTCTTACTTTCTTCTGGCGGGAACGGTTTGCTCTGGGGGAATGGAGGCACTCAACTGAAGCGACTCTTCCCAGCAGCCAGCGAGCATCTGTAGTTGGCTCTGTATATCTGTCTTTGTCCCCGTATAACGTATCTGGTTTCCAAAATGGGTGACAGCGGGTTTGGCTTTAGCTTATACTCTTTCAAAAGGTATTTCATTAAGAAGAAAATATCAAAAATCTTAAGGGTCAAACTATAATATTCCTACCAATCTGGATCGATTCTATATCTGTGTGAGTGACTATTATATTATCTGCTAAATTTTGAAAAATATAAATAAAGTAAAACTTCCCGTTTTCTTTTGGCAAATTCCTTTTCAAATAATTTACACTAATGGAATAAATAAGAATGTATCCCTTTAACTTCATTATTTTCTGAGCGTACTTATAGCTTCGGTGTTTGGCTTTATCTTTTCACCTGCTATTTTTTGGGGGTTTTAGCAAACTCGTTGAGTGGAGAGGCCAGCGACCGCAATCGCCGCTTGTTGCGTAAATTTTGTAACCACCGACGACCGGAGGAGAATGTTGTTCTTGGAAAGAGTGAAAGATGTTCCGTTGCCAAAAGAAGAACCAGTTTGGTCATAAATATGCAAAGTGTGCACAAACAGGCAGGCAGCAGGCAGCAGGCCAACCGCAAATAAACCTGATTTTGGCTTTATTTATTTGGGAAGAGTGCAAAAGAACTTACATCAAATGAAATGCATCTTCGGTCCATTTTTACATTCACTTGTCAGCGATACATTTTGAGAACCACTGATGGCCGTTGTCGATCAGAAAAGGAGAGCAAGAGAGACCGGCAAACAGCTGTTTGAGAAGCATTAACCTGTTGTTGTTGGTCTTGAGTTTGCTGGCTAGATGAGTTTTCGCTTTTTTTCGAGCAAATTGGAGCAAGGTAAACGAGTCAGCATAACGGGTTTCCTACGCAAACTGTGCCACTCGTATTTTAGCGCAGACATAACGGTCTCACACACGCACATCTAAGCTTTTTGCACTTCCGCCTGGCCAATTAGCACTTAATCGTGTCATGTGTATTTGTTGACGCGTCAGAATCATACACACACACTGGTAACAATTTCACAGGCACACTCCCACACCCTATTGGCCCCATGCAAATGGTTCCTTTGTTTTCAATTCCGACGTGTTTCAGGCTCAACTCACCGTTTCACTTGGTGCACAAACAAGTTTACACTTTAAATCACACTCTTCACATGGTTATTGTTTTTAGTTTACTGGAAAAATTGCATTTTTCACGAATTTTCACTGCGCTGCGATATGTGTTGTGTAGGCTAGCTCGATAACTTTGGCCGATGACGATAGTCGAAACGTTTGCCTACGTTTCGTTGTGAATGACAAACAGATGTTTGTTGATTGCACGTGCGCTGAGTTTTTTTTTTTGTTTATTAAAACGCATCTGAATTTCATTGCATAGATAAATTGTACATTGCTGATATATAATACAGAGAGAATGGCCAGAAGACCAGAGCATTCGGCGCCGCCAGAAATTGTGAGCATTGCCACGTACTGGCCATAAAGAGAACCCTAAGTAATTTTTAATTCTTCTAGTTCTACAACGATGATGAGGCCAAGAAATATTCCACAAAGTGGGTAATTTAATGAAATAAATTATCGAACTCATAAGAACTTCACCTTTTTTAGCACCCGCATCATTGAGATCCAAGTGGAAATGGCCGAACGTGCCTTGGAACTATTGGCGCTCCCGGATGATGATGAGTGTCGCTTGATTTTGGATATCGGCTGCGGATCTGGACTATCAGGAAGCGTTCTTGAGGACAGCGAACACATGTGGATCGGCATAGATATTTCAAAGTCTATGCTTGATATCGCCGTGGAACGCGAGGTAGCTGGGGATGTGATTCTCGGGGACATGGGAGAGGGAATGCCCTTTAAGCCGGGTACCTTCGACGGCGCCATCTCGATCTCTGCACTCCAGTGGCTCTGCAATGCGGACAAGTCGTATCACAATCCGCACAAGCGCCTGCTGAAGTTCTTTACCACCTTGTTTTCCTGTCTGACACGTACCGCCCGAGCTGTCTTCCAATTTTATCCGGAAAACTCTGATCAGATCGAGATGGTCACCTCACAAGCCATGAAGGCAGGATTCTACGGTGGATTGGTTGTCGACTATCCGAACTCCGCCAAGGCTAAAAAGTACTACCTGGTGCTCATGACTGGAGGATCTGCTGAGTTGCCTAAGGCTTTGGGTTAGTTTTAATAACAATTATTGAATAATAATTCCTTTACTTATTTTTCTTTGCTTTTGTAGGTTCACCTGAAGAGGAACGTCGTGTTAACTACATCAAGAAACGTGATGCTTGCCGTGAGGCTCGTGGAAAAGCCCCTAAGAAATCCCGTGATTGGATCCTAGCCAAGAAGGAGCGTCGACGTCGCCAGGGGTTGGAAACCCGTCCTGACACAAAGTACACTGCACGCAAGCGCAGCGGCAAATTTTAAATAAAGTTTTTATATTTAATATTACCAAGCTGTTAATTATTCATCCGAAGTGAAAGAGACACATCTCTTATTCACAAAAATATATTATCGAATTTAATTCATTTAACTTAAGTCTATGTACTGAGGACTAGAGAACTCTACGATTGCTTCCCGACTACTTTTTGCTCTCGCTCTTCTTGATTGCGTCTGTGTCGTTCCTCCGCCCTCTGTTTGGGGGTGTCGTAGGAGCTCTCGGCGAGGAACATCAGGTATACGGCTACTCCGGCAAAGATAAAGGACAGCAAGACAATGTCTGTCTGGCCTGACATCTTGTTGGTCTCTTTTTGCACCTTAATTCGATCGTATTTGGCCTGGGCGGCCTGTCTCCGGTCAAATGATTTGCCGTAGTGGTTTCGGGACCACTCGTCGAAGTCATAGATGGGCGTACGGCCATCAGAGTCAGCTACACGCGATTTCTGAAAACGCGATTTGTAAAACTTAGTCTCCGCATCGTCCTCGACTACGGGTTCCGCTGCATCCTTGATATCTTGGGCATATTGGGCACCCGCCGTATGCACGATTCCCTTGTCGTACAGACGACGCAGCCGATAGTTTCCCAGAATCTCATAAGCCTGATTGATTTCCCGGAACTTCTTGGCAGCGCTCTCACTTCCTTGGTTTTTGTCCGGATGGTAGAGCATCGAGAGCTTATAGTAAGCTGCCTTAATCTCGTTCTGCGTGCACTGTCGTCCGATTCCCAGTGCGTCGTAGTGGCTCATCTGGTGGCATTGACCCAGGTGGAGTCCGCGCAACAGAAGCAGAGGTCGCCACATCATTGGGCTGTGCTGGAACATCTTGGATATGCCCTTTCGCCCGCTTCACTTGTTTTGGTTTCGTTATATCATAAGAAAATTAAAAACAAATCGAATCAGCTGTTTGAACTTGAACTTGTTCACCCTCGCCAGCGTTGTTATCGATTGTTCGATATGCCGAACCAGTGGTTCTGGGTAAAGCAAAAATCAGCTGCAAAAAGGAAAAGAGCAAGAAATTAATTCATTAACAATTTTGATAAACAAGTTGGAACACAATTTTTAAAATATCACGATAGATGGAAAATATTTATAGACTTATCGACTATGTCACAAACTTATTATACAGAATCAACAGAAGTGCACACATACATTTATAACGAAACATTTGTAATCCTTTAAAGAGGTAACTATTTGCGTGCTTAACTTTAAAGTTAAAATTTACCAGCTGTTTTGGCTGTATTGAAAAGAAGCAACTCCACTGACCCAGTCAGCTGTTTGTCTGATTCGCTGCGAATGGCAACTGTTGCAACTATTTTGGTTTGAATCTTCTCAATTTGTATTTATATATAGAACAGGGCAGCAGCCGGTTCAATTATCTTACGCAGCGTGCTTGATTTTCCCGCTAACCTTCTGTAACTGTATCTGTGTGTATTCGAGAGCGATCGAGAAGTTTCTGGTGGTCGAAATTTAGGCCAGAAGGCACAAAACCGAACTGAATAGTGAGTCATCCGTGATCAATAAGAAGTTGCAGCTATAGTTTTTGTCTTTTTATACAGAAAATTGTGTAACCATGACGAACACCATCAATAGCGAGGAAGTGTCCGACGCGGGGTCCTACAAAGATAAGGGCAACGAGGCGTTCAAAGCTTCCCGCTGGGAGGAGGCAGTGCAGCACTATGGCAATGCCATTAAGTCGGGTTCTAAGCACAAGGAGCTGCCGGTTTTCTATAAAAATCGGGCTGCTGCGTATCTGAAGCTAGAAAGGTATGAAAACGCCGTAGAGGACTGCACTCAATCCTTGAAAGCGGCTCCGGGCGATCCCAAGGCTCTGTTCCGTAGGGCTCAGGCGTATGAGGCTCTGGAAAAGTTCGAGGAGGCCTACAAAGACGCTACTGCTTTGTTTAAGGCGGATCCCGGCAACAAAACCGTGCAACCAATGCTCCAGAGGCTGCACGTCGTCGTGGAAGAGCGCTCAGCCCTCAATGCCAAGACCTCCACGAAAGTCAAGCAGATGATGGAACTTACTTTTGATTTGGCCACGCCCATCGAAAAGCGACGCGCCGCAGCCAATAACCTTGTAGTTTTGGGCAAAGAGCAGACTGGCGCTGAACTGCTCTACAAGGAACACTGCATCGCCAAAGTGGCCTCTCTAACCAAGGTGGAAAAGGATCAGGACATTTATGTAAATATGGTGCGTTTGGTGGCTGCTCTTTGCGAAAATAGCGTGGAGCGTACAAAGGGCGTGTTAACTGAACTGGGAGTACCGTGGTTCATGAGGGTTCTCGACCAGAAACACGAGGACTATGTGTCCACCGCCCAGTTTTGCTTACAAACAATATTAAACGCTCTGTCTGGGCTTAAGAACAAAACCGATTCGAAGCCGGACAAGGAGCTGTGCACTAGAAACAACCGGGAAATTGACACTCTCCTTACCTGCCTAGTTTATAGTATCACGGATCGCACGATTTCTGGAGCGGCTAGAGATGCCGTTATTGAGCTTATAACCAGGAATGTCCACTACACTGCTCTGGAATGGGCTGAACGCCTGGTAGAGATCAGGGGTCTGTGCCGTCTTCTGGATGTGTGCTCAGAACTGGAGGATTATAAGTACGAGAGTGCAATGAATATCACCGGCTCATCATCCACAATTGCTTCCGTTTGCCTGGCCCGCATATATGAGAACATGTACTACGATGAAGCTAAGGCAAGGTTCACGGACCAGATCGACGAATACATTAAGGACAAGCTCTTGGCGCCTGATATGGAATCCAAGGTGCGGGTTACCGTTGCGATTACTGCCCTGCTCAACGGTCCATTGGATGTGGGCAATCAGGTCGTGGCCAGAGATGGTGAGTTCTATTTTATGATTTCGAAAATAATAGGGGTTTCTAATTAAATATTATATACATCAATTTGTTACAGGAATACTGCAGATGATTCTAGCAATGGCTACGACCGATGATGAGTTGCAGCAGCGAGTAGCCTGTGAGTGCCTAATCGCCGCTTCCTCCAAAAAGGACAAGGCCAAGGCTCTGTGCGAGCAGGGAGTAGACATTTTAAAGCGGCTCTATCACTCCAAGAACGATGGTATTCGAGTACGCGCCCTGGTAGGTCTTTGCAAGCTGGGTAGCTATGGCGGTCAGGATGCGGCCATCCGACCATTTGGCGATGGAGCGGCTCTGAAACTGGCGGAGGCATGCCGTCGGTTTTTGATAAAACCTGGAAAGGATAAGGATATCCGTCGTTGGGCTGCCGATGGTCTGGCTTATTTAACACTGGATGCTGAATGTAAGGAGAAGCTCATTGAGGATACGGCTTCCATTCACGCTCTAATGGATTTGGCCCGCGCTGGAAATCAGTCCTGCCTCTATGGTGTGGTCACCACTTTTGTGAATCTGTGCAATGCGTATGAGAAGCAGGAGATGTTGCCTGAGATGATAGAACTTGCTAAGTTTGCTAAGCAACACATACCGGAGGAGCACGAGCTGGACGACGTCGATTTTATCAATAAGCGTATTACAGTGCTGGCAAATGAGGGCATTACAACTGCTCTTTGTGCACTGGCCAAGACGGAAAGCCACAATTCGCAGGAGCTGATTGCCAGGGTCTTGAATGCGGTTTGTGGACTGAAAGAGCTACGAGGAAAAGTGGTTCAAGAAGGCGGCGTTAAGACGCTGCTTCGTATGGCGCTTGAGGGCACTGAAAAAGGAAAACGACATGCTACCCAGGCGTTGGCCAGGATTGGCATAACCATTAATCCGGAAGTATCTTTCAGTGGCCAGCGATCGCTTGATGTAATCCGTCCCTTGTTGAACCTCTTGCAACAGGACTGCACAGCGCTTGAGAACTTTGAGTCGTTAATGGCACTCACCAATCTAGCCAGCATGAACGAGAGCGTGCGCCAGAGGATTATTAAGGAGCAGGGGGTCTCCAAGATAGAGTATTATCTGATGGAAGACCATCTTTATCTCACCCGTGCAGCTGCCCAATGTCTGTGTAATCTGGTTATGAGTGAGGATGTCATTAAAATGTTCGAGGGCAATAACGACCGAGTGAAGTTCTTGGCACTGCTCAGCGAGGATGAGGACGAGGAAACCGCCACGGCTTGTGCCGGAGCTCTGGCCATTATTACTTCAGTGTCCGTCAAATGCTGCGAGAAGATCTTGGCCATCGCCAGCTGGCTTGACATTCTGCACACTCTGATCGCCAATCCCAGTCCGGCGGTCCAGCATCGTGGCATTGTGGTTATTCTAAACATGATCAATGCTGGCGAGGCGATCGCCAAAAAGCTGTTTGAGACCGACATTATGGAGCTGCTGAGCGGCTTGGGGCAGTTGCCCGATGACACGCGTGCCAAAGCCCGAGAGGTGGCCATCCAGTGCCTAGCGGCGGCGGAGCGTTATAGGATCATCGAGCGGTCCGACGATGCAGAGATCCCCGATGTGTTTGCCGAAAATGCCAAAATATCAGAGATTATCGATGATTAAGCGAAATTCGTATATACCTGTAGTCTCCCCTTTCGTGCCTTTTGTTCCTCCACCATTTCATCTTCTTTACTGTATTCACAGTGTCATCGCGAAACTTAACTTATTGCTTGGAAATATCTAATGTACTTAACTGTTTTATAAATATTGTTCGAATTTATTTCACACAGTTCGTTTTTAAAGGTAGTTCGTTTTATTCTTTAGTGGGTGGCACAATATTTTATATTATAAACTTTGTAATACAGACGAATCAGCGTATAAGTGGGTTAGCAGTGCGACTCCTGTTCATTATCCAACCGTAATTGCTGTGGCTCAATGTGACTTGGTTGTGGATTGCCAAAAGCGTTCTCCACTTTTCCTAGAATGCGCTTATGGTTCTTGGGTAACCTGCGGGGCCTGCCATTTTTGGGGCAGTCAAGTGGATGCACAGTTCCTACGGCTCTGAAGGACTTGATGCGAATATTCTTTCATGCGCAGCAACCACGTTGCCAGTCGCCGGTTGCAGACTGCATCTGGATGCAAGCTGGCCTAGTGTTTTCCCACCGACTCGATTTCCCCCGGTGCACTACCTCTATTCATTGCCACACTTAAACTGACATTAGTCGCCAGCCAAAGGTAGCTGACTTCCTCTAATGCACAAATAATTGCAGAAGATGCTTCTGATGTTGCAGTGTCAGGTAGCCGGGAATTCCGAGCCGACCACCTCTTCCAGCGGATTGCTCAATCTCGAGGAAACATGATTAAATAAATAATTATTGCTTTAATTTAGTTTTGCTCAGCGCAGTGGGAAATGGCCGAGTGTTTTGGTTGCTCATGGAGCCACCAAGATTTAACGGCATTGGGTCTGCAATCCTTTTCTTTACTTTGACCAGCAAGTCAATAATAAGTGGGTATTCAGAAAGAGATGTTGGTTAAAACTGCATATAGAAACATGGAAATGTATTTATAAAATCTGTGTTAGAAAATATCGAAAATTAAATTGAAATTGGCAAAAATTTTCAATAAATATACTTTTTGAGTATTTTAAATGCATTGTTCAATTTGAAAATCGAATTTCTCAGCATATTTATAATACATGGAAACTCTTTTTTTTTCTTTGAGAAATCGATGAAGAAAATAAAATAGTACAAGACTTAATCCCCAAGAAGCGGAAACTTTCGGTTTCGGATTGGGTGAAATTGCATTTCCCAAAGAAAAGTCGGAAACCCTCATCCCATCTTTGTTTACATTCCACATAGCGACGTCTTCGGTCAAAGCAATGGAAGAACTTTCCCAGTCGGGGTAAAAGTTGCAGCCAGATTGATCGGCTTAAAGCCACATCGACTAAATGGCTAACAAACACCGGCCGCTAGATGATCATTAAGGTGCGTAAAACGAAACCGAACTGGACCGAGTTGTATTTACTTTTTCGGCATTGGTCAACATTAGACATTTTGTCCTAATTACACAGACGACAGTCACAGACGGAGTGGCAAAGAGTTGGCTAAGACTGTGGTTTGGAGGCTCTGGCTTAGAGCTTCATCGTCTTGATTGGCGACGTATGTGCAACTTCACTTTCCATTTAATCTCGTTTTGGTGGCGCGGTGCGGTTCAGTGTGCTGCAACAGTGGTGCCGCACAATTTGTCCCGTGGAAATCGAAAGCCGATTTTCATGTCAATATTTTTGTTTAATAAACTGGCCGACTCGAGTCGTCTGCGCATGCGGAAAATATGCAAATTACCATCGACGGGCATCATAAGGTGCCCCCTGGCGATGCAACGCAACAAATTTGCACTGGGAGAAACACAACGAACGATGCTCAACCGAGTTCGATTGATTTAAACCTGGATTTGAGATTGTCTAGTCTCGAAACGGAAAATTGATATGTACCCAATTGTTAGAGAATTTACTCAAGCGATATTTGTTTCACCTTATATTGATTCCACAAATACAAAAATTGAATTAATTTTGCTTTGTTAGTGTACGGATACTGATGCTGGGGCACAAAAACACAGATTCAGATACACCGCCAGCCAAGTTGCGTTGACCGATTGAACGAAAGTGCAGGCAGCAAAAGATACGGGATGAAAGATGAAAGTTGTCCGCGAGTAGAATGACGATGCTGAAAGTGCAAGTGGCTAGGCGGATCGGTCGAATCGATGTAAGACGGTTACGGTTATGGAGACATCAGATTGGTGCAGGTGTAAACTCAAGTTGCATGAGTGGTTTCCCTTTTGGAAGATTTGGAATCCAAGCTGGCCGAACTAACTGAAAGATAACTGTGTGAATTAAATGGTGTATATCGTGACAACAAAAAATTCGAAGTATTTCTAAGGTGGGGCTTGACCTTATGTAAAGCCAAATAACATTTTGAATTCGAACATTTTTAACCTCTCCTGGCGAACAATGTTTAGTGCAACCGGTATGATTAGTGCAATCAGTATTCTAAAAAGGTTTTAAAGAGAAAACTAACCATGTTAGCATTTAAATTTAAATTTCCTTAGCATTTATTTAACCGACGTGAATGAAAGGTTAGGCTTTTCTAAAAGCATTAAATTCCTGAAAAATGGTAAAATGCTGGCTTCACAACCGGTCAACTTTCCCAATTTAAAGCCTTGGATTTTACCGGACAGCAAATTAGTCGAGCCTTTTTTATCCCCTTTCCCCTGCCAGACATTTGTCAATAGTTTTTCCTTTTCGCCGGAACTTGTGGACAATTTGCCAAAGCACCGCCAAAGAAAACTCGTACAGCGATTTTCCTTCGCATTGGCCATGGTAATTAATCAAACTGCTGCCATCCGCCGAAAAGCGTTCGAATCGATGGCTAAACGCAAAAATTTGCTGAAAGCCGAAAATGTGCATTGACCGCTGCTAAAAAACAGGCAGCGACCGAACTATTCAAAAAGACAGGGGAAGTTGTTGTGTTAGTCAGAAAGTTTGCTCAAAATTTATATCAATCGAATGTCGTTGGCCGGGATCGTTAAGATACTCGTTCGATCCTCCAATAGCTGAATATGCTAAGCATCTCAGGCTCGAGGCAGAATGAAGACAAAACCAACAAAATCATCGAATGCCATTAGCAACTTGGTCGGAAACTTGCAACAATGTTGTCAGAGAGCCAGGAAATTGCACTCGAGCAAAGTTCTCTGTGCTAAAAATATAAAATTGATAACCTAAAATCAAATAGACATTGGCAAAAAACAGTAAAGGCACATTGTACTTTCCAACTGCATTTATAATGAAATGCATTTAATATTGCTTAATGGGGATCAATATTCTCTACAGGATTTCTGGCAGTGTAGGTGCATTTGCCTTGGTGCCTGCCGTAGGTGATAAGAAATAATTGAAAAGATTGTCGGGCATTTGAATCAATTGAATGGCCCACAGAGCTGGAAGAAGAAGAGCCGCGAAGGGCCATAATTAGGCGATTGGCGATTGTGTGCGTTTGTGGACAAGTGCCCGAGTGCAAATGTTTATGTTATGACTATTGTCGACCACACAAGAAAAGGGGCTGGAACTCGAAGATCCCGAGATGCGAGGTGGGGGTCCAGTGTCGGCCAAACTGTGCTCTGCCCACTGTCATTAAGGTTGTGCCACTTGCTTTCTTTTCGCTGAGCTTGCAGTTTTGCCTCAGATTCCCACCCATCCCCTCCACCGACCGCTCACCTTGCCATAATTGTTTTGTTGCACTGGGCGGGCGAGAGAGGCAACTTTCTATTTGCGCATTTTCACAGGGAAAAAATTTAATTTTCCTTCCTTTTTGGATTGGAAACCATGGTAAATGCTTGCTTTTTATAGAAGATGCGACTTGAGGCAGCAGCTGAAAACGATAATATTTCTTTTCCGCCTCATTTGAAATGGGAATTTTCAAGTTGATGTTCACAGCTGCCAGCTTTGTGTCGCTGATAATATATAATATCACAAGTCGGTCCCAATAACCCGAATATTCAATTCACCATGTTAACTCCTTCGTAGAGTAAATAGGTAAATTTCTCGTTTGCACTTCCACTAGCTGAGTAACGGGTATCTGATAGTCGGGGAACTCGACTATAGCATTCTATCTTTTTTTTAAATATTCTGGGTATACATAAAATAAGTATAAATATATCTGTATTTTATGAGCTCACGCATGATAGGCACATTGTTCGCTACTAAAAGAAATGTTATTATAACTTCAGATTAATAATACTTTTACTAATTTACTTCACTCCTATCTCAAGATACTCCTAAATCGGTTCCACCTAAAATTTTGGTTTCGATGAATGAGTTCAGGTCTTTTAGATTGGTAATTGAATTTTGCATATACATAATTCTTTCGACAGCTTCCAAAAATATGGTCCACAAAATTTCCCAGAATAAATGACAGATTTTTATTATAAATGCTTAAGTTATAAGAACTGTAGGACAGTGCTTGTTTTCATTCTTGGTAATTTTGATATGTAAACACATTTTTTACTTTCGTTTGAGTTACCCCCCTTGTTTAATAGCTGCTTGCAGTCGAGCGGGTTTTGCAGCCTTAATTATTCGTTTCATATGAGCCTCGACATTGGTCTGCGACGATCCTTTTTATGAGCAAACTTTGGCGCGTTTTATGGGCCGCTCATTAGAACCCGAACGAACAGGGCCAACAAACAGAATCGGGCCAAAATGTGTAGGCCAGAAATGAACTGGACAGGGGTTTGGAGGCTGTGTGCCGCTCCTTTATGACGTTAAGATTGGGATGTCGACGACGATGGCTGAATGGGGTTGGTAAGGACTACACTGCGATGAATACTTGTTTGTTAAATTTCAATAAAGCATTCTAATTCAATTTATCGGCAATTATTATAGAATTATTATGTATTATTGTACTATTGTGTACGTCTAGTTCGAATTTAAAGATAACGGGTATACATGAAAAGTTGAAGTAAAGCATTTTCACAAGTTCTGGATAAAATGTAAAATGTACCCAACCGAAGCAATTTTTATTCCGGTGTAACGGCAGGCGGTGAAAAGGCAAGAACTGGACGTGGTGCGCTCGGCTCATTATAATGGGCGGCACTTTATTTAAAAGCGCACACGGCACATCATTAACAAGGCAAATGCTATGCAATGCCAGCTCAGTTATGCTCAGTTCTGCTCAGTTCTGCTCAGTTCTGCTCAGATCAGTTCCCTTTCCAGCTCGGGTCCATCGGGCTCAGCGCGAGGTCCAGAGGGATGTACATACATGAATGTACATGAATGCGTCTCTATTAGCGAACGCGGACCGCACGCACTCGCTGGGGAAGCGCGGCGTGCAGTGGATTTCATAATATCTCAATTGATGAGAGGGGTCCATCAAGCTCCCAGCACAGTGGTGCACTTGGCTCCAAACGAAGGCAGTAAGAAAAAAGTAGCTGGGTTACAAATAGAACAAGACTGCGTGTGTTATCAACACACATGTAATGTATAATATATGTATATAATACCTCGACAAATAAGAAACAATAATATATGTCTTGGGGTCATATCTCTGACCGTCTTTGTTGTCGCAGGCAAATAATTACTGATAGCATCAAGTGCAGTGGCGTATGAATTTGGGGTTGGGTAATTTTTTGGGGCTAGGAAGATCATCTATGATTTACCTTCATAAGTTTCAAAGTTTCGACCACTACTTGGGTTACTTTATGTAATTAAATTGTAATATTGCATTTGATTTCATATTTCCCTCTCATAATTTATTGCTCATAAAGTGTTTGCGATAATAATGTATATAATTTGTAATATAATGTGTTTTCTTAAAGAACCTATAAATGCGACTGAAAAGTGAAAATAAACTCATATTGAAATCAACTTGCAATGGCGTGGTTGGTAAGAAGCATATTAAAGAGTTGCTTAAGCATAATTTACAAGCCTATATTAATCATCATTTGCAGAAGTACTTAATTTGTCTACTTGTGGTCATCCAGTGGACTACAGCTCGTCCAGTATTTCCCGGCGCAGAGGAGCACGTGGATACCATCCTGGAACATATTAGATGCATTATCCATGCAGGAATTAGTATTCTCGAGGGTATGCAGAAAAGTAATGTTGCCTATGAAAGTCAAACTCGTGGGCCGCCGCGCATTGCTGGAGTCTCTAAATATGATATCATAGATCTACACGCCAACCGAAAAGGTTGAATAAGGGCTTCTCCTTAACACATTAAAACGGGTTACTGGCATAAGAAACCCCATGTCAAATGTAAAAAACGTGTAATTTCCATAAAAGAAATTTTAATATTCGGAAAATTTTATTAAATTATTGATATGTTTTGATCAAGTGCACAATAAATAAGGAGTACATTCGAACGAGCTCAAAAATATGACAATAGTAGCTTTCGGCCATATCTGAAACTGAAATGTCTCTGTTATCTGGTAGATTAAATTATTACTTTCAAAATTTCAGCAAATGTTTCAGGGTTCCATTTTAAAATTTTTGTATTTGAGTTTTGGTATGGTTAGGCTTTTTTCATTACGACAAGTTTGGCCGTTTTTTTAAACAAAGTTTTGTCCTGCTTTGGAATTTATTCAGATTTCCATTGACTTGAAACCAACGTGACGTCGAGTGGCGCCTTAATTGGTTTCCCAGAATTCGCGGTGCGCCCTTCTACTCGATGAACGCTTCACTTACCCCGCCGCACACCAGCCCCCTCCCCCACAAACTAGCATGTGCGTTTGACTATTATTTGCTGTTGTTCTTGGCTTTGATTCCTCTTCGGCCGTCTTCTGGCCGCTAATTAAGGTCGTCATTGCTGACCAGCGACTTGGGCTTGGATATTGGTGCGTTTGCAAATTACTCCGCAATTCCGCCAGCAAATACCGGTGGAGGGAAGGGAACCAAAGTGGCGAGCAAGGGGTTCCACGTGGTAATTGCTTCCATGGCTGGCTTGCCACAGTTTCCAATGCGTCCTAAACTGCAAGCGAATTTTGCTTATAATATGCCAAGCAAGCGTTTCCGACCGTCGAGATAGAATATGCGTGTCCAATGTTCTTTATCGACAATGTTCTTATTAGCCTAGCTGATCTGGTCATGTCCTCCTGTTTGTAGGTATTTTACATTTTAAAACAATTTCTAAATATATTTATGCCGACTAAATGTTGATAACATGACAATTTTGACTATAACAGGTATCTGATGGTCGAGAAAACCGGCGACAGCGTTCGATCTTCTTTTTAAAAGAACTTCATTTTATTTCGGATAAGAAAATTTCCCGATCGTTCGTTCTCTTCATATTATGTGGTATTGAATAATCGCATTAAAAAGCTGCACACGAACGAAAAGACAAATTAAACGCCCATTAAGACATCATTTTTCTTTGGCATATCGTTTTGTTTTGGCCCCGTAGACGGATCAATCAATCAATCAAAGCGCATCCAAAAACCCCAATATATGACAGTGGTTCCGCTTATCCTTGACACAAAATTGATGCCAAGAAAAAAATCGCATCAAATATTTATGCGTAATTATTATAGGCAGCTAACATAACCCCCCGTCAATTCAAGCAGCCCACAAATATTTACGAAATCATAAAGAAAAAATATGATTTCGCGTTTGGTTTAATTGCTGTTCGGTCTTGTTAGCTGATTTATTTTGGCCAACCTTCGTCCCACGAGCCAATGGAGGGTGGGAGGTAATTTGGCCGTAGACTTGTTTTATTGTTTGTTTCCAATCTTAATTACGCTCGTGTATCTGTCAGATGCCCAAACCAATCTCTTTACAATGGTAAAAGCTTCAGGCCGCAAAAAGTGAAACAATCGCAATAACACATAAACAACAAATTCAAGCGAATATGCCAAACAATTAGCATTGGGTAGGGGAAATAAATTCAAATTGCGTGCACCTAAGCCAAAATACTAGTGGTTCTCAAAAGTTTCCCCAAATTTCGCAATAACATACTTTTTGTTGCATTTCAAACACTTTTTATCAATATGTTTGGAAGGGAACCTACCCGTTTTATACACCTAGATCATGTTGCCTTTCTTGTTTATTTGCAGCTGGGATTTCAGCGCTCACCTAGCCAACTCCATACTCCGGTATGACCGGGGGATCGCTTTTTTGGAGTCGGGCCACATAATTTTGCACAGAAATTATTAGCACTTTATTATTTTTCGGTGGTTACGCCTCTTTCTTGTACGCATTAGCACTAAATTCAAAAGCAGACTCAAAGAAGCACACTAGCCAATTTTTCACCTTTTGCTTTGCGCTATTATTTTACTGAACATGCAGAGGGATTCAGAAACATTGCAACAAATATAGATCTCAAATAACAATACGGAAATATGTGCTCAGAGCTAATTTATGATTAAAGAATTTACGAAAGTTGTTAGTTTGGGTAAAGACTTTTGAAGGAAACTATTGAAGAAGTCGTTGATTTTTATAATCTATTATTAAAAACCTGTTTCCTGTTGCATATTTTAAGTGCATCTACTCCGACTGAGGAAGTATTTGTGGACATTTGTCATCGCCGATTTCCGCAAACTGCTGTCCCGTCTTCCTGCTCATCAGCTTCATCAGCATCACCGTCACATAGTGATCGTGTCCACCGCTTCCACACTCGTTGACCGCCCAAATTATTCGGTTGACCCCAAGGCACCTCCTGCACCTCCTGGCTAAATGGTTGATGAGCGGGAAAACCGAAAACAGCACCAGCTGACCGATTGTGAACCCTGTGGTGGTTGGGCAGACATCTTCACCTCTTGTCGACTTTCCACGCTTCCCATTTCCATTTCCATCTGCATCTCCGTCTCCATTTCACTTTCTTTTGGCACGACGAGAGATGCCGCCAAGATGCTTCCTCGCAGCACCGCGCAATTAACATTCAGCTCCGGCTGGTGAAATCCCTGCCAAGTATACCAGTAATGAGGAAACAAATGTTGTCAAATGCGTTGGCGGTTGGGCGCTAGATAAGCAAAGCCGCAGAAGGAAAAACTGCAGCTGTGCGGAAAGTCATTGCTCCCAACTCTTGGCGCTCGGCAGTCGCTCTTGAATGCGGCTCCCAGACCCACCTCGTCCCCGCCAATTAATGAAGTTCAAGCCCCTAGCCCCTAGACTGATGGGGCTTAATGTCAAGGCACGCTGTTGGCTGAAACCTGATCAAACCGCCAGTGGATTTTCAATCAATTTATTGACCCATGAAAACGAAAGCGGTTGGTAAGTTTAGATGAGGGTGTGTTTTCCAGAACAGCACTCATTTGGTACCACACTCATAGGACTGCAAGCTAGTATAGTAAATTAATTGTATATATTAGAAATGAATATTCTTTTATAAAATACGACATACTTTTCTTAAAGCATTATAATCTGTGTAGCTTTAAAAATTAAATACTCATAGATAACGTCAAAGTAAGTTCTTTTCATAGCAAATCGACCGAAAGAAAGTTACATATGCTATGGTTCAGAAACTAAATTAAGACATAAGGTTAAAGATTTTTTTCAATTAATTTGTTGATGCAGCCAAAAACGTAATTTACTTGCTCTATTTTTGATGCGCTGTATCCATGTTCAGTTTGAAGTTTGGCGTATTAGAATTCGCAGGATTGGCTCACTAGCTCGTCGTTTATAGCAATTGTCATTGCCTTAGATCACTCCACTAAATAGCAGCTACGTGCCGCAATTCGTGGCATGTGTGTGGCTTTGAGAACCGTCTGTTCCCACAGCGCAGCTTAAAGCTGATGCTAAAAAATAAGAAATGCACAGAGTCTCTAGCGATGTTTAAAACAGAGCTGACGACGATGTAGATTAGAAAAGAAAAGCGCAGCATAATAAGCAATAAATGCAAGTCTTAGACTCATTTCGAACGTGTTAAAATGATACTGCGAATGGCCCCGGAAGCCAGGGCCAAACAATGGAAGTAACTACGAAGAAACATTGTTTACACGCCATATGCGAGTTTTCCGACTTGAAAATACCCGGGCATATCATGCCTAACTATCTTATCAGTTATATGAGAATCTATTTAATAGCCTCAGGTAAACTGAGTTAAGCTCATAATTAAAAAAGGAATCTTTTAATTTGTTTATAAGTCTAATTTTGTTAAAATAATAACAAGACATATTAATCGTTGTATTCAGTTTTTTGTTAGGATGCAATTCTAAAATAGTTAGTGCAAGCATAGAAAAACGCTATTTGCTAATGTATTGATTGATATTCATTACCTTTGGGTAAATATTGCAATATGGGGCCTTTTCTTTGGCACTCGTCTATGTTGATGTACCCAAGCAATACCCTATAAGGAAAGCAATCATAATTTCAAAGTAAGTTCTATCGTTTATTTAAACCTTAGAGGTAGGAGCTGTGGGGTTCTCACTCTTGCTCGCTGCTAATTTCTTGGCTTTCTTGGAAAGCGCTAATCAAAAGTGTAATGCCCAGCGAAGGGAACTAGTGTAAAAGGCAAACAACAACTGAAAATCGACAGGCTGCATACCGAAAAATGGAAATCTGCAAACGGCAAACGCCAACCGGCAACCGGCAACACTGACAACCTGCAACATTCAGCCTGCCACTGCTATCGCGCGCGATGAGGCGAGCTCAACAATTATTATGCAGCAGCAAAAATCCACTCGAGGCGTTGCCCGCAGCCAAGTCGCTGCCAAGTGATTCTAATGATGCTTCTAATGATATAGTCAAAAGCGAAGCGCGACTTGCAGCGGTTGCAGCTTGCTGGCTGCTGGCTGCAGCTTGCTGCTTGCTGGTTGCAACTTCCCAGTTGCCGCATGTGGCCCGCGTTTGATTTTCTGGCATGGCGCTTCCACCGCCGCGGCGAGGGGCAAGGAGTCGGTAGCAATTGCATTCGGTTAGCCATTTGGCGGAACCGCAGTCCGCCTTTAACCCTTGGGCTCCACGTGGTGAGATTTCCTGACTGCAATGTAATCCAATGGGATTACCTGGATTAAGCTAAAATCGAAAACTATTTCGAACAGTTGGTTATGAATATGTATATCTATAACTATATTTAAGAAAGCTTCTGCCTTAAGGTATAAAGTGTAGGTTATATAAACAAGGACAACAAGGATGTGAGGATGTTATATAAGCAAGTGAGGCACCCCTGTGCCCACTACTGGGTTAACAAAACTGATCTAATGCCTCCTCCCCTTTTCGGCTGCTCCTTGCTTCCTCGGCGCGCGTCATACTTTTCCGCTTTAATTTTGCGTTAATCTTGGCTTGCACCTGTTGGATGGTCTGGTCTTGCGTCCGCTTCTCGGTGGGATGGACCCTCCTCCGTCTCCGCCTCCCTCTCCTCTGGCTGGGAAACCCCTCTCCGGCTGCCGCACTCCGTTCTGGGAGCAATGGCGATGCCGTTGTTCAATTTTGCGTGCCGTTGCCGCCTCTGTTATTTTAACAATCTGCCATTT